ACCCAATGTACCAAATTTCAGCGAATTCCGTTGAAAAACGCCCTCAAGAACCCCGAAGTACCGAAAATTGCGGCGTGCCCTTATATGGAACTATATTTAAAATTTTTAGTCTGCACATTTGCAGCCTAATAAGAACCCAATGTACCAAATTACAGCCAAATCGGCCGAAAAATACTGAAAATTGCGGGGTACCCTTATATGGGGGCTGTCAGAAAAAGTGGATCTATATTTATATTTTTAAGTGGAGAAGTTTGCAAACCCAATGTAGCAAATTTCAGCGAATTCTGTTGCAAAAAAAGCGCTCAAGAACCCATAATATCGAAAATTGGAGACCGAATATATCCCATCTTCGGACTTGGCCTGCCTGCAGATCAATTTTTGGCCATCTATCTAAATTTGTTTAGATAATTTAATGGATGATTGACAAAAATCTGTTCAGATTTAATTTATCCCTCAATAATCCAGCTGTCTCTAAAGTATATTCTTAGCAGAGTTTGACTTGAGTGAGTCATTAAAATGACAGTGACCCCACCACTCATCACATTTGAAGGGTTCCCTATGTTTATATGCAACACTTCAGAGAGCTGCCAGAGAAGTACAAAAAAGTTCCGGAGGATGGCAATAAGCTTGAAAGTCCTATAATTACACGTACTGGAAATCATGTCAGTGAAAAGGGAACCTTTAGTTTATTTCATTTTTGTTGGAAAACCATTTTTAGGTGGCAATTTAGGCCCCTCGCTACAATATAATGGATATTCTCACACTATTTTCTTAGATCTGGCCGCATTTCAGATGTATATTCGCATGGGTTTGTTTAGGCCTTAAAAACAGCTACTAAAAAGGCGGTATCACTTTTTTTTGTGTGACAATTAATCTTCAGCCTAACCATCCACCATCCAGACCACCGTTTGAAAGATATTCTCTCACACCCAAAAAGAGTTCCATATTAATTTATATCCAGTATTGAAGTTGTCCCCAGTAGAATCTTTGAAGCATCATCCATTTGCCTTTTTTTGCAGAATCCATTTTCCTTCAAAAAAGAAAGAAAGAGGTATTCCTAAATAGCACAGGTATCTTATCTTCATGAAGTAGTTACTACTTGGGCTTATGCTCCACACATCCCTTTCTTCCCACACAAAAATATGTTTTGGGGGAAATAACGTACACACATACATACACTAGAAAGGAGTATGTACATAAATACATATGTATATATATATATATATAGACATATAGTTGACTTTTACAAGTTCTTCTTATTGTCGTCCTTAGAAGAAAAACAAAAAAATTAAGAAAGAAAAACTTCAACACACAAAAGAAGAATTACTTTCAAACACCTTCTTCTTCTGCTAGTTGTTGTTGTTACTTCTGCTGCAGTTGACAGCCAGCAAGCAGCCTCTCTCTCTATACACAAAGATGAGGGTATTTCACAGTTACAACAAAATAAATAAAATAAAACAACAAGAAGAAGGAAAAAAGTAAAATGCACTTAAGAACACACAAAAAAGTGTTGTAACTAAGGGGGGGAGTACAAAAAAAAATTACTTGCCGGCTATGAATTAAAAAAAATTGGGGAACACACACAATTTATTGAAGAATTTTGTTTTTATGGGGTTTTGTTAACAAATTAACAAAATTGCAATTTTTAACCAACGTTGATTTATTATCCCCCCTTCCAATACCACCTATACTCCTCCTTAAAACCAACAACAATACCAACTTAATTCGTTGGCTTACAACCAACCGAGAAGCAAATCGTTGCAAGAACAACCACTGTGTGAAAACCATCATGGAGGACACAAAATAAAAAGCCTGGGGGTTACTGTGAACGACGACTACGACGAACCGAGTCTCGTTGTCACACACAAAAAAAAACGGATCAAAAAAAGATACTTATGTATGTATGCATCCGATTCATCCTATTCGTTGTCGCCGACAACGACGATGTCCGTAGCCGTCGAATTGATTTTTCTTCACTCCGTTTACCTTAGATTTTTTTTCATTTAACACAAATTTGATTTCTCAGATTTCATTCATTATAAATCTTGGGGGTTTTGTAATTTCACACACACAAACACACAAAAAAAAACTCAAAACTTTAAATCCACAAAAACTTTAATTACTTTTTTCCGTTTCCAAAGGCAATTTGTTGGCCTTTATTTTTCGTAGTGCGATTAGAAGAAGACGAAGCGGAGAAGTATCATTTTTGTCCAGTTTTTTCGTTTTTTTAACTAAGGAATTTCATCGAATACACATTTTTTCTTGTGTTATGATAAAGTTGGGGGTACAACACAGACCAACCAACAGCCTTCCATCCACCATCCAGGCGCACATACACTTTAAGTTTTCATACACCTTGCATTTGGGAAAAACACCTTGATTTTTTTTCATTTGGAATTTGTTGCAAATTTCATAGAGAACACTTTAGATTTCTTTTTTTAATAATATCAAATAGTTTAGATTTTTATTTTAATTTTTTCCGTAAGATTTTTTTGTTTATGCCAACCGTTGTGATGGTTCTCCAACATTATTATTAATACACATATACACAACACGTATTTTGATTTGGTTTGCACAAACACAATGCTGCCAGGCTGACTGAGTGACTGCTTGCCTTGCTGCTGTTATTCGTTCTTCTTTGCTGCTCAACAAAAGTAATCACTCACACACACTACGCCTCGCTCTCAGTGGAGTTACAAAGTAATCACTTTTAATGGTAGATACCCGTTTATTACTCGTTGATTTTAGACTTGCTCGCTCGTTCATTCGCTCTCTCTATCTCCCTCGCTCCTTTATGAAGGAGTAATTATATGAGGAGTTGTTGTTATGTTGTTAACAGCAAACAAGCAAGCAGGCAAGAAGAAGAATAAATTCATGTCGATAATCAGGTGCATAGACGTTGTGTGATACAAAGTAAAATACAACTCTGTTACACAACACACACACACTAAACACCAATTCTTCTCTATACAGCTGTCAAAAGACTAATTAACACTACTCGGGGTTTTGTTTACATTAGATAATTAGGAGTTAAACTGTTACACATAATATGAATGTTGTTATTGTTGTTGTTTTTTGTTATTTTCAATGGCATTATAAATAGAAATTGTATGAATTCTAAGAAATACATAAATGTTAGAAAATTACAATAACAAAACATTGCTATGCAATAAACAAGTAAACGTTAAACTAGTAACAACAAATACACACAATCTGACAAGTTGATTTGACAACTTCTGAATGCTGCTATCCATGTCATTGACAGACATTTGTGTAACCGATGAACTCTTTCGATAGTGATGGTGTTGTACCATCATCATATCGTAAAAAGTAAATATTAAATAAAAATAAATACAAATAGAAATGTTTATTTTATTTTACAACAAATAGTAAATCATTTTCTTATATAAAGGGTAGACTTAAAAAACTGTGTTCAATTATGATGGAATTTCCACGATTCGATTCGAGATAACACATTTTGCTGCTTACTTATTAAAAAGTAGTACCTACCTGTGCGCATCCAATTAGCTTTAGGTGATGAAATATTACAGTAGTAAAAAATTTAATACCTTAAAATATTTTTTTTTAAATATGATAATTTATTATTTAGGCTAATTTTTGGAACTTATTCTTGTAACGGTATATTGTTTGCCATTGTATGTCAAAAAGACTTAACCTCAAAAAAAAAAACAAATGACACAAATAAATATAAAATAAATTATTAAAGAAAAGCAGCATAAAAATTAACTTTCAATGCTATCAGAAAAAATTTACTCCATCAATTTTGCAATAAAATAGCAATAACGAAAAAAAATCATGAATTAATTTGTTTTATTGCAATGTAATTTGAGTGCTAAGAAACTAGAATCTCCTTATTTTATTATGCTATGAATATCAATTAATTCGAAATCATAACAATTATGGGGTATGCATGCAGAACTTTTCTTGATAAGAAATACCCTTCAAATATGTTCGTTTGCATATTAAGGTATATTACTATGAATATTTTTGTATTATAATTTGAATCGAATACTAATAGTTTTTTTATATCAATGCATAATTCTTATGCCATGTTCTGACGGGCATTCGAACAACGTAGTTCGCTCTCAGAATTACGTACATGAATTAACCCGTTCATACAACACTATTCTTAATTCATGTCATCAGAGTTTTTTATTTCAAACTTTTTGTTTCTTGTTTTACATGAAAATTCTAACATATTTGCATGAATCACATATGGATCTAAATAGAAAAATTAATTCTCTTTCTCCTGACTATAGTATGGATCCATATCTATATACTTTAAATTCATCATTTCCATTTTTTTCTGAAAATATTGTTGTTTTCATCCATTTTTATATTTTCTAAATTCAAATGTCACATATAAAAATTTGGAGAATTTTTTGTTTGAGTTTCTCCAAATTTGTTTCTTGTTTTGTACGCTAATTAGAACCAAGAGGAAAGAAATTCATATTGCATTATGTAGATAACAAAATGTACATCCTGGTGCATATATAAAAACTAGACATTTTTTTACTTTTCATTCATCATTTTCAATGTTACTAAAAAAGTTTGAAAATTTTATAAATATTTTCTAGCTGTCAAAATTAATTTATTTTCGATAAATGCTCTCAATTGTTAGGGATGGGACAAATTTCTTGGTTATTCAGAGAGTGATTCGAATTGAACTACGTACAAAAATCGGTGTTCGCTCATAACATTTTGTATGGGGAACTAAGTAATTACTTCATAATTAAGGGTCGAACAACGAATGAGAGAGCGAACAACGCTCGTCTGTACATGGCATTAATATGGTCAATACATAGTTTTATAGTAGGTTTACATTGTACTGGGTTTAATTTGTTAATTTTCCATTGCAAATAAATCAGCAAAAATATGGTTAACCCCGCAAAAAAAGTTCTAATATATATATATATATCCTTCTAAGTAGAAGGATATGATTTTAACTATTTAATGTTAAAATTGAAGCTTGTACTTACATATTAAAGCCGAGTTCAATTTGCTTTTACGAAAGCGAAATTCCTTCAATTTTGCACGAACTTCATCGCTTATATCACAAATTCGGCTATCACCCTAAAAAAAAAGAAATTAAATTATTATTCAAATTTAGAGAATAAAAATTCTTCTTAAAGAAGAGCGGAAGTTGACTTTTTTTAAAGAAGACCAGGAGGAATTTTTTAGAGAAGGACGGTAGGGTAGGGTAGTCGGGCGCAAAAATCGTCTTTATGAAATTTCGATTTCGGCCTTTGACTAAAACAGTCGAGTTTTCGATCTTTCGACTTTGTCAAACTTGTTCAAAATCAAACCGATTAATGGAAAATCTATTAAAAATTTAATATAATGTGTAATTTTGAAGAAAAGAATGTCTTTATAAAGAAAATCGAAAGTCGATCTGGAAAAGTCTACTTTGCGATTTCCTCGAAGATCAAAAGCCGTTCAAAATTATAAACTTAACTACATTGTGGTACAGGGTTTAATTAGAGAGGCAAGAAAAGATGATAGACCCATTATTTTTGAGAATAAGCATAGAATCACTTTTGGAATTGATTTATGCATGTCCGTCTGAACAAAGTACAGGTCGCAATTATGATACGAATTGGATCAAATTTGGCACAGCCTACTTATTTGGCCCAAGGATGAACCCTATTGAAATTGCTGAAAATCGGTTCAGGTTTAGATATAGCTCCCATATATATTTTTGTCCGATTTAATGTAAATGGTGCACCAAAGTCTTTCGATTTGCACGAAACTTGGCGCAGCGTACTGAATAAGTCTAGAATGATGTGTGTTGAGTTTGGTGAAAATCGGATCAGATTTAGATATAGCTTTCTTATATATTTTCGTCCGATTTTATGCAAATTGTGCACCAAAGTCCCTATATATCTTTCGATTTGCATGAATTAAGTCCAGAATGATGTGTATTAAATTTCGTTGAAATCGGTCCATATTTACATATAGCTCCCATATATATATTTATATATATATATATATATATATATTTTCGGCCTATTTTATGCACCAAACTCAAATTTTTTGTCCGATTGTGGCGAAATTTGGCACAGCGTATTGAATTGAGTCTAGAATGATGTGTGTTGAGTTTGGTGAAAATCGGATCAGATTTAGATATAGCTCCCATATATATTTATGTCCGATTTAATGTAAATGGTTCACCAAAGTCCCTATCTATCTTTCGATTTGCATGAAATTTGGCAAATAGTACTGAAATAAGTCTAGAATGATGTGTGTTGAGTTTGGTGAAAATCGGTTCAGATTTAGATATAGCTCCCATATATATTTTCGTCCGATTTAATGTAAATGGTGCATCAAAGTCCCTATATATATATATCTTTCGATACTGAATTAAGTCTAGAATGATGTGTGTTGAGTTTCGTTGAAATCCCTTCAAATTCAGATATAACTCCCGTATACATTTTTTCCAATTTGTCCGCCAAAATGACACTTTGTCCCAGCATATATCGCACAGAATATATATATATAAAACCCCGAACAACCAAAGCAATGTCAATAAGATTGCAGCACAGGAATTTGCCTTTTGTTCTGCAGTAACACACCCTAATCTACAAAATGAAAATAAAAAAAACGAATGAAAAAAAAAAAACATGAAAATTCTGTTGTCAATCAAAACAAATTCCTTCCATCCAACTCTGAGTCACTGGGCACTGAATCACATCACACTGGCTGCAGCTAATTGATTGGCACATTCATTATATAGGAAATATATCTTTTCAATAACAAAGTTAATAAAATAACTTACCATTTTAATAAATAAAAACCCTTATTTTTCTTTTGTTATTAATTTGGAATATTTGTGTTTTGTTGTTTATATTTTCTGAAAGACAAAAGAACTCGGCTACTGCTTCTTAATAATGGAGACGATCACTTTCCATTTGACACTATTTTATTTTATGTTAATTATATCGTTTTGTTGTTGTCGTCGCTTTAACAAAAGTTAGTTATCTAGCAAAAAAACACAGCAGCAGCAACAACAACCGCGTTTGTTAATTTGTGTCTTTTTTGCAGCAGCAGAATTTGTTGTTGATATGTGTAGTGGTCTGTAGTTCAATACACACCTACAGCTGTCGATAACACAACTGATGGAGAGTTATCGATAAAGGCAGATGGCTTCATAAACAGCTGTTTTTTTTGCCCAGTGGGGAAATTAATATAATTTTTGTAGAAATTATAAATTAAAAGTCTTGAAAAGATTATTTTTCAAAGCTTTTTGAAAATTCTGAAAATATTTAGAAAAAAAGCATTATCTTTATACAGGGTTATGGTTAGCCACGGTTTCAAAAGTAAACGTAAATAATAGTACATTTACATTGTACTGGATTTAGTAAAACAAGGGGGTTTCAAATGTGAATTCCATTGCATATACAGTATATCAGTAATGAGTTTACACATATGAACAATTATTAAACAATATTAATTAAATTATTTTTGTTTAAGCTCGAAACTTCAACAACTTAAACTTGTAGCAGAAATCCTTGCAATCACGAAAACGGCCGACATAGTCAAAAACCTTACTGCCGATAATACGGGACCGGTGACTACATATGTCGATAGACAGGCGGTCCTCAAGGCTTTGAAGCGTGTACTATAAACTCAAAAGCAGTTCTTGAATACATCCGCTCTGCATGACATACGACGGATAGTTTACTTATGTTGAGTTCCAGGACATAGTAACATAGAAGGGAACGACATAGCCGACGAGGGGGCTCACAATCTTCCGATTAAGAGATCTGTGCAACCAACCATTGGCACTTTCATTGGCAAAATCCGCTTGTTCTACGGCGAGCTAGTCGGTAACAGACGGTCGAGAGAACCTGGTTGCAGAATCTCAAAATCTATCTGACCTGAATTCTCTCGCCGAAGAACTTCTTCGCTGTTGGCGTATAGTAAGAGAGAGATCAAAATCATTGTAGGTATCATAACAGGTCACTGCAGGATTAGATCTCTCACTCTCCTGATCTAGCAACGAGAAACCAAATCGATCATGTTGTGATAAACGGAAGAGCGTGTTTTTGACGTTCGATCGATCCGAAAAGTTAATATTTAACCCCAACGAGCAACGCACATCAACTCCAGCTTCAAGCGTTGATTTTATCGTCCCCTTTGCGGTTGTTCTTCACTTTATCGATAAGTCTAAAAAACGAATTATAGATCTCTCACTTCTTACACACAGAACAACTCTACTTTGAATTTACCGCCCGTTTTACAGGAAGCTTTTTTCAGTTGTTGCCAAAAAAAGGTATTAATATATCATATTTTTTTGTAATCTTGTATATTTGAAATATATATATTTTGAAAAAAAATATATAGAAAATATTTTTTCCCCCATCTAGATGGCTTTTGATCGCTCCCTAATAGCTCTTGGCAAAAATGATATGTACGGTTTGGCTTGGTTGGCTGGAACGGGTGGCATTCAAGCGGTATCGAAATATTGTAAAACATTGGATATTGATTCTGTAAATATTTCACAAACATGGTGAGATAGATGACTAAATATCGATTTTGAGTTATTATTTTTTTAAATCCCCTCCCCATTGCAGCGCTTCGTTACAACGGAGTCTCCAAAAGTACCAAGACGATTCGCAAAGCTTTAACAGCGTTAAAGAAACTGCCGTTATACCATTTCGAGTATGCTCGAACCTATTGTATGGCACATTAAAAATCTATCAGCAACAGGTCAATAATTTGTATAGTAAGTATTCGCAAGGGTGGTGTAATGCTGCTTTTTGATAGCCACAACAGCGTGAAAAATAATTGAAATTAGAACCATTGTTACTTCTGCGAATATGTTTAGTTAATTTACTGAGATTTTGATATAACTCCTACCCCATATATAATTTTGATTACACACCCTCTATTTATTTACAGAATTATCTGAAGATTTAATAATCCAAAGTAGCAGATTTGAGGCAGCAAATGTTAAGAATAATAAAAATAACAGGTAACGAAATTTTTAATTCAAATTTTAAATTTGCTTTCAAAAAAATTAATATATTTTTATCATTTCTAGTTGTAGTCAGAAGGCAATTAAAAAACGTCGACTAACCATAACTCATTCCGATGATATTTTGAATAATTCCGATATAAACTATACCGAGATTTTAGATGATTTGGTGAGAATATCAAAGGAACCGGAAGTTGAAAAGGTATTTTAATGTCTTTAAAAAACAATTAACCTATAACTTTTTTTAAATTACCAGATACCTACCCCAACAAATAGTCAAATACAAATTCGTTCGGCAAAATATCAAATACGCGAGGTTATTGTACATGAGATAACCACAACATATGGTATCGCCGAATTAGACAACGATTGTGATTTTGGTGATGCAAGTAATGAAGATATAATAGAGTTTTTCAATTATTCCGAACGTCAAGGTATGGTGTTGTTATATATACATATATTTTTTTTTCAAAAATTAAATGAAAAAAACTAAATTTTTTTTTACAGACAATTACCGCAGAGTACAACTCAAACGAAAGGTAACATTTTTCTACGAAATGAAGATTTGAAAAATAATTCCAAAATTTCTTAATTTCAGAGCCAATGTTGTGAACAAGAAAATAATAGAAAACGGAATAGAAATGATTATGGTATGGAGTAATGATATGTTTTTTACATTTAATATATATATATATATATGCCCTTTTCAGAAACAACTGCAGATTATATATTTTCTAATGCTAATACCACAAATACCAACGAGTTAATATTAACTCCTCCTCCTCCTCCCGTAATCAGGACAAAGGTAGGTCAATCATATATTTAAAATATTATTTTTTTAATTTAATTAATTAAATTAATTTATTTTTAGGATGTCAATAAAGACATGGAACGAAGTATTTCAAATCAAAAAATGTACTACAAAAGTAAGTTTTTTGAAATGTATAGTTAAAGCATGCGCTTTTTTAGAGCGTGAATTTTAAAGTAATATTTTTAAAGGTAGATTTTTTAATTTAGGTCAAGGGGTTTTTGTTACCTATACGGCTATATTAGTTTGGTTAACAAAATATGAAATTTATTTAAAATGAAAAGAAAATTTTTACACTAAAAAATATATCGACACAAGTGTGGATATATAAAATATATATTGTTTTTTTTTTGTTCTTAAAATCGTGGATTTTTTAAAAATTTTTTTTCAAGCTGTGAATAAAAATTATTTTTTTAAAGCGTTGATTTTTTAAAAATTATTTTTCAAGGCGTAGATTTTTTTAAAAAAATATTTTTTCAGATTTATTTTTTTTAATTAATTTTTAAACAAGGCTTGAATTTTTTACAAATTTATTTTTAGTAGTGTTGGCGGGTTATTTGGGATATCATTGTATTTGTATTTGGCCGCCCCCCTGCGTACGTCCTTGCTAGGAGTCGTTTTTGATAACCTGCTCAACTTCACTCAGTACCCCGCCTATGTCAAAGGGAAAGTCCTCAACAAAAACAAAGTCCTGAAAGCTCTGACAGTTACATCGTTGGGAAATGATAAAGAGACGCTCATCATGACGTACAAAGCCATTAGTCGCACTGTACTTAGCGACACCCAATGGCGCAACCTTCAAACGATCCAAAAGTGCTAGCGGATGTGTCAAGATGTCGAGCGTGGATCATATTTTTTCAAGGTCTTTCCACAGGCTTGAATATTTTTAATTTTTTTTCAAGGCCTTTCACAGACGTGATTTTTTAAATTTTTCGATGCCATTCACAGGCGTGGATTTAAAAAAATGTTTATTCATTTCCTATCAAGTGTGGGTTAAAATAACATTTGAAATTAATTTGCTATGATTTATTTTCAGATAACTCTCAATCCTCTTTCTCGCCTGAACAATCTCAAAAAAGAAAGGTAAGCCGCAAAAATATTTAAAAAGAAAAACATTTGTAATTATTTACTCTATTCCAGAGCGATTATGAAGATGATGTTGTGACACCAAAACGTGATAAATTGAGTCATGGTATGTGAAAAAAAAAATCCAAAACAAAATAAAAATAAAATATTTAATTTTTTTTAGATTCTACTATAAATACAAAATATAGTGTTAATGATATCATGGCTAACGATTTTGTGGCCACACCTTGCCGTTCTTATGGAGAAGGGAAGAATGAAAGGTCGTTGATTTCTTTTCTAAATTCAAAATTTGATTTTAATTTTTTTTTTCAAATTTTCAGATCTAATAATGAAATCAATAATAACATTGCATTGGATATAAAACAGGAAATCAAAGAGGAAGCCGACGATAAAATCGATACGGAGGATAATCTTAAAACTCCAATTTTCGCTAATTTAAATCAAGTGAAAAATGAGATGACCAATGACGTTGATTCGAATATAAAATACAAACCGAAATGTCGTCCAATAATCGATCAATATATTAAACTGGAAGAGAAAGATATGATGGAACAAATCAATAAACCTATTCGAAAATTACGCGGCATTACAAAGCATAATTTTAAAAAGACGCAAATAAGAAAAGTTCTGCTACAGCCGAAGGAACTTTTAAAAATACACAATAAAAGGTAAGAGATGAAATTTAAGGTGAATATAATGTAATAAAAATGCCTTTCGTTTTCAGAACTCTCTTATTTGCTCCTCAACTAAGGGAGAAAATATTACCGCCAAGCGATGAAAAGTTTCAACGTGAATATCTAAGTTTAGTAAATGATATATTAAAGCCCAATTATAAAGAAGACTGGGCATTTGATGTATACCCGAAATGGCAAGAAATTGGAAAATCTCCACAAAAAGCTAAGAAAAAGGCTAGCAAGAAGCAACATGTTCTAGAAAAATTTTCTCCTCCAATACCAATGCAAATTAATGAAAATTCCAATATGATGATAATCGATAACTTAATCACCAATATCGACCACAATGAGAATCGTCCACAGTCTTCTCAAGATAAATTTCAAGAAAATATAGAGGATATATCGATGCCAAGCAAAAAATGGCGACCAGATTATGTTATGATGAAATTATTGTATTTGTGGCAAAATTGTGGACCCGAAATAGATGCCAATAAATTTTGCCATTTGGCAAAAAATCGAATTGATAAAGCCATGGCTTTTTCATCGTTGTTGGGTGAGTGTTTTTTAACAATTTAATTTAGTGTTTATTTTTTAGAAAAGAATATTTTTTACGTTAAGTTTAAAAAAAAATATTTTATGGACGATTTCAAGAGTGAATTATTAAAAAATATTTTTTTTCAAATACTTGTAGAAGATTGAATGTTAAAAATTTCATTTTTAAAAATTAATCTATCAACCACTGCGTGATTTTTTAAATTATTTTTTATGGACTAACCAACCCTACCGTGGATATTTTAAAAATTATTTTCTTATGGACAATCCCAAGCATGGATTCAAGGCGCAGAATTTTTTAAAAAAATATTTTTCAAGCCGCAGAATTAAAAAAAAAATATTTTCAAGCGTGGATTTTTATAAAAAAAATATTTGTCAAGGCTTGCGAAAGAACCTTCGTTCCTTAAGCCGAGCTTAAAAAAGATTTCCAGCCGCGTCGGTCTTTTTCGCAGTTTTTCCAATTTGAAAGATCATATTCGGCAATCCCCTTCTGCGTGAACCATCAGCAGGTTCGCTTTTATATGTCTTCTGGGCTGGGTCATCTTCATCCATTCTCACAACATGACCTAGTCAACAACGTAGTCGCTGCAACTCACAATACGTCTAACAATGTCGATGTCCCTGAATAGCTTGTACAACTCATGGTTCATTCGACGGCGATATTCACCGTCAACGCAGATCGGTCCATAGATATTTCCCAAAAGCTGCCTCATCTGCTTGCGTAAGTACCCATGCTTCAGATCCATATAACAGCACGGGTAGTATCATCGTCTTGTGGAGTGTGAGTTTTGTGTGGCGGGAGGTGGCCTTGCTTTTGAGTTGTTTGCTCAGGCCATAGTAGCATCTGTTGGCCATCACTGTCCTTCTCCAAATTTCAAAACTGATGTCATTCGTTTTATTTATGGCGGTACCAAGGTATATAGAATCTTTGACTACCTCGAAGCTGTAGTTCTCAAGTTCCACAGTTGGTCCGAGTCTACTGGACGGCGATATTCACCGTCAACGCAGACCCACGGACTCCTTCTCGATTTGCTCAAAGGTAGCTGTTACCGCTCTCAGTTTTCGACCCATTATATCGATGACATCGGCGTAGGTGAGTAACATGTGTTGTTTGGTGTACAGAGTACCATTTCTGTTCACTTTTGCCTCTCGTATGACCTTTTTGCAGCAAACTATCACCTTTTCTGAATCCTCGCTCGGTATTAAAGGGCTCCGTGAGGTCCTTTCCGACTTTAACTGGTGACCTTGTGCCAGTTAAAGTTATCCGAATTATTTTTGCAGAAATGCCAAACGCAGACATGGCTTTAAACACCTCTGAACGAATAGGGCTGTCGAATGCGGCTTTGTAGTCGACGAATAGGTGGAATGTGTCCATGTGTTTTTCGTGGGTTTTTTCCAGGATTTGGCGCAGGGTGAAATGGTGGTCAATGGTGAATTTGCCAGGTCTGAAGCCGCATTGGTATGGTCCAATAATGTCATTGACCATTGGCCATTTTTTTATATGTGTTTTACTATAGTTGGCACATGTCGTCTGAGGATCCAATTATTGGACATGAATTCTTCTAGCCAAAAAATATTTACCAGCATTGACCACCAGTCTTGCGTGGCTTGTAAAAAAAAAAATATTTTTTCAAGGGCATACACTCTATAGCACTGCTCTGCACTCTATACTTCACTGCTACTATTTGATACCAGAAGTTTTTCAAAATGCTCCTTCCAGATCCTCATTAGGTGGGTTTAGTTTTCTTTTTCTTTGCTTTTTCATAGTAGGTTTTTTTAAAAAAAAAATTTTTTTGAAAGCGCAGATTTATTAAAAAATATTTTTCAAGGCGTGGATTTTTTAAAAAAATTATTTTGAAGGCGTGAATTTTTTTAAACAATATTTTGAAGGCGTGAATTTTTTTAAAAAAAAATATTTTGAAAGCGTGAAAAAAAATATATTGATGGCCTGAATTTAAAAAAAATTAGGCGTGGAATTTTTTAAAAATAATATGATTAAAAAAATTCAATAAATTGATTAAAAAATTAAAGTTGTTGATTTAAAAAAGAAATTAAAGTTGTTGATCTAAAAAAATCAAGTCGTGGTTTTTTTAAGGCGTGGATTTTTTTTAAAAAAAAATGTTTTCATACATATAAAATTTGTGTTGTTTTTGTTCCTATTTAAAATATATTTCAATTTCAATTTATTTCATTTATTAATTTAATTTTAGTATTGGCAAAAACGCGCTTTATTACCATTACCCATCGCCAAAAAAGTATTGAAATGGATAAAATTCTATTGGGTATCGCTGCCAAAAAATTAATTAATAACAATTAGAAAATAATATCAATGTTGTTGTTGTTAGTGTACAGTATCTAGGAGGGTTGTTGAACGAAAAATGAACTGTATCTATATCTAAATTATCTATATTTTTTGTATATTTTTAATATTTTTTTCTATTTTGTTTTTCTTTATATATATTTTCTAACTACAATTTAATAAAAACCTATAAAATAGTATAAAAAAATTAAAAAAAATTTGAAAAAAAAATTATAAAAAAATATTTAAAAAATTGTCTATTGTTTTTCCCCATGAAAAAATTAAAGTTGTTATACCATCTGTTGTATATTTTCTAATTTTCAATTTTTGTTTTCATAAATACTACACACGGTAGTATATACCCAAAATGTAATAATGAAATGAATTGTATTTAAATAAAGATATAACGAAATTTGTTGAACAAAATATTGTGTGTTATCTGTCGTCATGGGTTTATACTTTGGAGTCCCACTGTTTGGTATATTTTTATACCCTTAAAACACTGTGGTACAGGCAAAAATAAACGAGATAGACACATCGTTCCTTTTGAGAATATGCATAGAATCACTTTCTGAGTCGATATATGCATGTCAGTCTGTCCGTCCGGCCGTCCATGTATTTTTTTTTTTTTTTTTGAACAAAGTATAGTACATGTCACTTATTTGGCCCAAGGACGAACCCCATTGAAATTGGAGAAAATCGGCTCAGATGTAGATATAGCTCCCATATATATTTTCGTCCGATTTAAGGTATATAGTGCACCAAACTTCCAACATTGGTCCGATTGGCACAAAATTTCGCAGAGAGTTTTGAATTAGGTCTAGATTGATGTATGCTAAGTTTGGTTGAAATCGGCTCAGATGTAGATATAGCTCCCATATATATTTTCGTCCGATTTAAGGTATATAGTGCACCAAACTTCCAACATTGGTCCGATTGACACAAAATTTCGCAGAGAGTTTTGAATTAGGTCTAGATTGATGTATGCTAAGTTTGGTTGAAATCGGTTCAGATTTAGATATAGCTCCCATATATAATTTCGTCCGATTTAAGGTAAATAGTGCACCAAACTTCCAATATTTGTCCGATTGAGACAAAATTTTGCACAGAGTATTGAATTAGGTCTAGATTGATTATGCCTAGTTTCGAATAACGTGTATTGGATTTAGTGTCGAGATAAATTTTGGATAGCGCATAATGTTGCAGCATACCGAATGGTGGATGCCAGGGTTGCTCAAAGACGTCTATTTATATATATAGATCTTATACATATTTTACTCGATGATTGACATTAAATTTTTTGATAGATTTCAGATTGTATTTGTATGTGTTGTTTTATTTTACTTCAAATATCTACAATTTCACGCAGTTAATTTCGTTAGATTCCATTTCAATGGTCCAAAGATGATATGTACAAGGATATCGTACATATGAGTATCTCTTGTATGTACCCAGAGTGGTGAAGGGTACTGGTTTCGGTGGGAATAATGGTCCACTTTAGCCCCAAATTTGACGGGTGTATATCTCAAGACTTCCCTTAGAAAAAATATATATTTTGTTGTGTCCCCCTCTCATATTGTGTCTTATATTTGCCAATATACGTATCAAACATTAATAAACAAAATATTTATTTTATTTTACATTAAATTGTTAATTAAAATATCTATTATTTTTATTACTTCATTCCCTTTTTTCTTTTCGTTTTGCTAATTGCTAACAATTTTTGTTACATGTTTCTGTTTTTTTTTTTAACAATTTATAATTTATATTTTATAGTCTTAAATATGGTTGGTTTTTTCAAATGCCAATTTGTTGTGCTAACCCTGTGTACACATGCAACGAAACAAAACCGATTAGTGAGGACACAAATGCCTTCAGTGCTATGGTCGACCATGGACCAAAACTGAGCACACTTAATAGGCCCTCCAACCAGACACCCTTGAAAATTGTCACCACCAATAGAATGGTGACCAAAGGTTTGAGGGCTTTGTTCAGGTCATGGCGGGTGAACATCCATACCAATGTAGCAGTGGTAATGTGTTGGATCTGCAATAAATAAATAATTAATTAGTTGTGTTTACATCAGCAACAACAACAACACAAACTTACCAATAACACATTCGATTCGAGACATTTTTGTATATAAATCCAACTGAATTCGGTACCCCGGGCACCGACCCACAGCATAATGCCGCGCGATAGGACAACCTCGGCGGCAGCCCAGCCCAGGCCGGCAGTAATTAATTTACTATGACCCTTGCCGGGTATACGTGAGAGAATCACAGCAAAGCCTAATAAATCGGCAATATCCACACTACAGCGTAAGAATTCCTAAAAATGGAAACCAAACGATTATCTCGTAACAGATAAGCATTTTTTGTAATCTTAAGATAAATAATTGTCACACCTACCGCCAAAAAGTTAAAATCACCCGTGCCACCACCTCCCAGTGAATCCGAATCGAAAAATGTGGCCAGTACCAGCATTTTACATAATTGTGTAAATACATAAATACCGCCAGCCTGTACACATTTCCAAAATGCACCATATTCTGACCTAGAAACAGCAACAGAAAAAACAAAAGCATTCATGATTTCCATTAATTAAATGTCATGTTTCTTGCGGTCTTGTGTCACTTGTGTTGTTGTTGTTTTAACAAATGCAAATACTTACAGGCCGGAATATTTATAGGTCATATAGTAGGGTACATAGACTAGTGCAACACAATTACCAAAATGATATAGAGTCATGTTCAAACCTGCTGCACGATTTCTTTTTAATTGAAGAAAAACTCTTTTATTTTTCTTAACACCACGGACTTAATTCAATTTGGCACGTCAAATTTTGATTATAATAAAAAAGTGCTGCTGATCGACCTGTGAACGAGAAAGAGAAATCGTAAGGAATGTCAAAATGTGAGGGGTAAAGCAAATATGAAAAATGAAACATAGCCAGTCGTGTGTGTCTGATGGATGGCAACGTATAGTAAACGTAACGTAAGATAATCGTTATGTTATGAAAATTAAAGCTGTGTGTACACGATTAATTTTTGTTGATGACAGTTTGGACCATTACACAATAAATAGGTACTACCATGGTACAATAATACAAGGTAGGGCAGCTTGAGGTGAATAACAAAAAAACAACTATGCACGTGTGGCTTCTTCTGCCAAAAATAAAATAAATATACGCAACAAGTGTTTGTGTTTATTTGGCATTTTTCAACACAAAACTAAAAACGCGAAAAATTAATGAAAGGTTAGGATTTCTTTCCAAAATCCAGTAGGGAATACTATCAAATGTTTGTTTCATCCATAACAAAGTTATTACTTCCAGACGGACGTGTTAAAACATTATTTTCATTTCAATTAAACTTGAATATATTTCAATTTATTTTGAATTTATTTGACAAAATATGTATTTTGATTTGATTGAACAAGCCACCTTGAGAAAAAAATGTAATCAGTTGGTAGCTGTAATAATTATACCATGGGTGAACCGATGTATAAATTTTTCGACATTTGTACTAAATGGTACCAAATTTGGATTTGGGTGAACCGATTGAGCTGGAATCTTGAAATTTGACGTTATTGTTACTGTTGGGGAATGGGATTGGACATTTAGAAAGTTTTGGAAATTCGTACTAATATGTACAAATTTCAATTTCAATTCAATTTCAATTTCAATTTATTTACATTCAATACAAAGAAAGCCATTTAAGGCCAATTATACATGTATTGAGAGATTAACATAATATAAAGCTAAAACTATGGCAGAAAAATAATTTTATTTGTAATAAAGTTAATATAATAATGTAATAAAAAAAATAATAAACGAGAATGGGAATGGCCCCCCAGCCATATGAATATTGTAAATATAATATAACATACATATATATAAATATATATATATATATAGGATCCCAGTAGCGAAGATTAATCAAAAGTACGAAACACTATCTAATTCAATTCACCATTTGTATATGATTTTAACAATTTTTTATATTTAGAGTAAGAATAGCAAAACATTCTAAGTGAATTTGGTAAACAGTTCCAAATCCTATACACGCGTACTAAAAAAGAGTGCTCAAAAATTGATGTCCGTATAAGAGGAACGTCAATTTGTACGTTACGGGTAGAATTGATAAAAGAGAACTCACGCAATAACGATAATGGCTGTTGTGTTTTTATAATCTTGTAAAAGTGAAGGGCAGTACGTTGATTTATATATTCACTACAGTTGCAACCCAGAAAAAGTGGTGTCAATTCAAGTACACGTACATGATCGTGTATCCCCAGCTGAAAAACATATCTAACAATTTTCCGCACTACCTTTTCAATGTTAGCAATGTTGTAGGACCATGTCCCAGAATAAACTTCAATGCCATAGTTGAGTAAAGACATTAATAATGAGTTAGCCAGATGTATCCTTACATTTTTAGGTGTGAAGGCTTTTAGACTATATAGTCTTCTCAGGATAAAGCATGTTTTCATTGAAATATTATTTATGTGTTCTGTAAAATTAAGATTTGAATCTATTATAACGCCAAGGCACTTTAAAGAATCGACAATTTCAATAGTAAGACCATTTACTGAGATATTGGGATTTAAAATAATATGGCTTCTTGGGTGAAAAAGCATAGCCTTGGTCTTTGCAGTATTTATTTCAAGCTTGCTGCGTAGTAGTAAATTGGAAATGTAAGCAAGATGTGAATTAACACATCTATCCGACGAAAATGACTTGAACAATAGAAAAATATCATCTGCAAATACATAAGGTTTACATAAGGAACTTTCCATTTCAGAAATAACCTAAAATAGATCCTTGTGGTACACCAGAAGTACAATTTAAATTTTAGGTAAACCAATAGAACTGGAAACGTTGAAATTAAGAAATAAGGGTACTAAATTTGGTACAATTTGAATTTTTGATGAACTGATAGAGCTGGGATCCTGAAATTTGGAATTGGGATCAATTTTGGGCTGTAGGATGGGGGTATGTAGGTTTAGGTTTATGAATATAAGTCCGCTTTTTGGAAAGTCTCCATATAACGGCAACATCAATTGTCGCTGTTTTGATAATATCAGACTTGTTTTTTTATGTTTATCTATCACCTTCATTTTCGGTAGGTTCAAGGTCGTCCTAGACCTATTTCCCAATTATTAAGGCATTTTAAAATATCTCTATCGGATATCGGGGAAAATAGTTAAAATTACTAGATTCTTGCTGTTCTGGAACATACCACAATATGTTATATCGAAAGTCATTTCAAATAATAGAACAGGACGTTAATATTCCTTTATCATCACGAAAGACAAATTTTTTACGTTGGTTATACGAATGGTATGTTGTACGTTACGTTATATTTACGACATCCGTCATAACTAACTCTCTTGTCTAAGAGCTATCATTTCACTGCTCATTGCCAATTACTTTTGACAGCTGTTGTGTGTGTTACCACGTATCATCTCTTTTTCCTATGTGTAAGGATTATTTTTTTTTTTTATTTACAAAAAAGAAAGATTTAATGTGAATTAATGTTCTCCCCCAACAAAAAAGTAAAATAAATACACAAAATTCATTTGTTTAAACAATAAATATTAAAGAAAAAAAGTCTCAACTATATGCCAATATAAAACAAAGTGCAATAAGAAACAAGTGAATAAAAAGAAGACAAGAAAAAAATACAATCTTGGAATAGAGTTGCCCATCACACAGTCATACACACACAAACAAGTACTTACTGTGGTACCAGTGCATGAATGACGAATTGGAATTTTGTGTGTTTGGCGATTTGATTCCGAGACACAAGGCCAAAGTGTAACCCAAACTGCTGCCACAATTGAGCAGTTGTAGATTATGAGATGCAAACACGACGACGTTTACATCAGTACGACCAGACAGCACAGGAAGAGGGCTATCCTCTAATAATAAATCAGCAACAACAGCAGCATCAGCAGCAGAGTCAAGCAAATCATCATCAGCAGTTTCAAAACTCCAATTATCCACACAATCCTTTGTTTGGAACGAACGGTGTTGTTGTTGGCCCCTCCACAGCCACAGCGCCTCTATTAGGTGCACAGCAGCAACAGCAAGCAAACTTTTATCCCCAGACATCTTTAAATATTGGAGGTGGTACTGGTGGTGGAAATCAAAATCAAGTGCCTATAGACACCGACGACGACGATAAGTACTCGAAAGCAGGACGCCAGTGGAATTTACGCTCATTGTCGACACGCATACAACAGGCAACATCGGGTCAGGCAATACGTAATTTCATACAACAGCCTTTGAAAGCCGTTACTGGCAGCTATCAAGAGTCACAAGCACCCACATCTACCGGACAAGACAATTTTTCATTTAGAGGAGGAGGAGGCCATCCCATACAGGAAATCGAAGACGATTTAGAGGATCTATTCGATAAGGAAAGTTTCGTTGTCATGGCTGCCCGAGATCGTACCGGTGAATTTAACAATGCGATCCGTTCGCTGCAATCGCGTAATATATCGCGTGCGGTCAATATACGAGATCCACGCAAGGCCAAACAGGTTCAGAGCTATTCGGAGTTTATGATGGTGGCGAAGATGATTGGCAAGAATATTGCCAGTACCTATGCCAAATTGGAGAAGTTAACAATGTGTGAGTAGAACCGTTAACCACTAATAGTTGGCCTGTTCCCATACTGCAAGAATTTACTATTTACGAATTTTCCTTTATGATATCGAAGAAAATTGTAAAATCTAGTAGATTCTTGCAGTCGCGGAACAGACCAAATATTTAAAAAATATTTTAATTATTATTTGTTTTTTTTACAGTGGCCAAAAAACGCACCCTCTTCGATGACAGACCCCAGGAAATCCAAGAACTCACCTACATCATCAAGGGCGATTTGAATGCCTTGAATCAGCACATAGCACGCCTACAGCAAATTTCCAAAGACCAACGTCGCACCGTCAACGGCAAGCATTTAGTATCACATTCCTCCAACATGGTCTTGGCCCTCCAGTCGAAATTGGCCAGCATGAGTACCGATTTTAAGCAAATCCTTGAAGTACGCACCGAAAATCTAAAACATCAAAAATCTCGTCGCGAACAATTTGGCCAGGCGCCTCTACCAATTAGCTCCGTTTCACCTGCCACCGCCAAGCAAGGTTCCCTGCTCCTGAGCGAGGAAAATCAAGAAGTCAGTATTGACATGTCATCGGCGGCGGCCAATGATCCAACATCTCCCTTGCTTGGTGGGGGTGGCGGCCAACGTATACAAACCCAACAACAGTTGGCCATTTACGATGAATCGGATAATTATGTCCAACAGAGGGCTGAAACTATGCAAAATATTGAATCGACCATTGTCGAATTGGGTGGCATCTTCCAGCAATTGGCCCACATGGTCAAAGAGCAGGAGGAAATTGTCGAACGCATCGATACAAATATCCAGGATGCTGAACTGAATATTGAAGCCGCCCATGGTGAAATATTGAAATATTTCCAATCGGTTTCGAAAAATCGTTGGCTTATGATTAAAATCTTTGGCGTTTTGATATTTTTCTTTATATTCTTTATTGTTTTTATGACATAGTGAAATCTGCCGCCTGCGAACGACCGACCGATTGATTGTTATGATGTTCCAAGTGTGTATGTATGTTTGTAATACAATTGATCATTATTATTATAAACTAATAATTACATTATTATTGCCTATAGATATTCCCAAAACAATTTCCTTTAAGGAAATTGTTTTATCTATGCAAAAAAAAAATATTTCTTTTGAATGTAAATTAAAATCGAGAGGGGTGGAAACGATAACGAAATATATATATATAAAATATAAATATGTATGTAATTTAATTTTAAAACATCATTATGTAAATGAGAAAAAAACAAACAAACAAATCTATACATTAATAAAATTTGTTAATTTTTGAAAATTATCAAAAGGGTAAACATTTTTAATTTTTACCATAAATAGGTACTCCTTATATAGCAGCTGACTATCCGCTTAACTGTCAAAGAGCATCGTTGCTTACTTACTTACTTAGGTGGCATGTGACAGAACTTTCGTTCCATAAGCCGAGCTTAATAAAGATTTCCCAATTGGAAAGACCGTATTCGGTTTTCCAATTTGAAAGCGAATTCTTCACTTGTATGCCTTTTATATGCCTTCTGGGCTGAGGCATCTTCATCCATTCTCACAACATGACCTAGCCAACGTAGTTGCTGCAGCTCAATACGTCTAACAATGTGGATGTCCGAGAATAGCTGGTACAACTCATGGTTCATTCGACGGCGATATTCACCGTCAACGCAGATCTGAATAACAGCACGGGTGCATCAGCGTCTTGTAAAGTGTGAGTTTGGTCTGGCGAGATGTGGCCTTGCTTTTGAGTTGTTTGCTCAGACCATAGTAGCATCGGTTGGCCATCATTATCCTTCACCGAATTTCAAAACTGATGTCATTCGTTTTGTTTATGGCGGTATATAAAATCTATGACTACCTGTAGTTGTAGTTCTGGACGTCTTGCGCGTTGATATCATCAGCTTGGTCTTCTCGCCGTTTACTGCCCGACCCACTTTGGCAGACTGCTTCTCAATTTGTTCAAAGGTGGCTGTTAACGCTCTCAGTGTTTGACCCATTATGTCGATGTCATCGGCGTAGGCGAGTAACATGTGTTTTTTGGTGTACAGAGTGTAATTTCTGTCCACCTTTGCCTCTCGTATGACCTTTTCCAGCAGGTATTTAAAAAGGTCGCACGATAAACTGTCACCTTGTCTGAATCCTCGTTCGGCATTGAAGGGATCCGATAGGTCCTTTCCGACTTTAACTGCTGATCTTGTGCCAATGGTATATTTGCCAGGTCTGAAGACGCATTGGTATGGACCAATAATGTCATTGATTATTGGCTTCAGTCGTTCACACAACACACTGGGTAGCACTTTATATGCGATAGGAAGGAGACTTATTCCTCTATAGTTGGCACATATCGTCTTGTCTCCATTTTGTGAACTGGACACAGAATGCTGAGGTTCCAATAGTTCGGCTTGTATCCCATCGGCACCTGCTGCTTTATTATACTTCAGCCGATTGATTGCTATTCTGACTTCATCTTGGCTAGGTGGTATACACTCTATACCGTCATCTATTATTGGTTCTGGGGTATCCTCTTCTCCGCTACTATTTGATACCAGAAGTTTTTCAAAATGATCCTTCCAGATCCTTAGCACGCTGTCTGTATCTGTCACCAGGTTTCCTTCTTCATCTCTACAGGAGGATGTGCCTGCACCTACTAACATCATAAATAGTTACCCCCATTTATAGCAGCTGACTATCCGATTCACTGTCAAAGAGCTTCGTTCCTACTAAGATCACCCAGCTAGCGAAAGTCAACTGTTAATTCTCAAGTCTAATGTCAAAATTTGGCCTTATTAATAGGACTTGACAGAGCTCCCATGGATTTAAAGAATTTTGAATTCCCACCATCTAAAAAAAAGTCCGCACCTGTTCTTTTTGAACATTACCATGATCCAATAAACAGGTCGTGTCAAAAGCAATCTTTATCGACAATTTTGGATTAAAATCCCCTAAGCTGTCAAAATTTTTGATTAACGTTTTCACACAATTAAGTCAAAATTGAAAGAAGACCATTTTTTCCTTCAAGAGCAATATTTTACTGATTATTTTTTCTGGCAAATTAAACGAACACACCTAATGTCATTGAAATATATTTTCTAAATAATTTCCCCTGTGTTAAATGCCGTCCAGCGTGACCGCTGAAAATTTTCAAAAAGTATCACAAAAAGTATCATTTTTTAAAAAAAGTAGCAGATAACTTCTGAAAAAGTGTCACAAAAAGTGGCACACTTTTTTTACTTTTTATTTAATAAAAAACTATTGGTCTGTTCCCGTACTGCAAGAATCTTCTAGATTTTACTATTTATTTCGATATCATAAAGGAAAATTCGTTATCGTAGTAAAAAGTAGTAGATTCTTGCATCAGACCATATATTGTTATTGAATAACATTTATTTTTTAATTACTTACAGCCTGTTAAAATTCACACAATTCGAGTGACTTACAAACCTTTATTTATGTTTATAAAGGTTTTCTGATTCAAAACAAAAATAAATGACATATTTTTTAAAACCAAGGAGTTTGGTCGTAAGTCACTCGAATCGTTCGTTTGGAATTTTACAAAAACAGGCTGTTATTCACAAATAGCAATCGAAAATTCTACAAATCGAAACACACATTTTCACCGTACTACGATAACGAATTTTCCTTTATGTTATCTAAGAAAATAGTAAAATCTAGTAGATTCTTGCAGTACGGGAACAGACCAACACACAAATGCGAATGCGACCTAATAATAATTTCGCTCCGTCTGTTACAAACAGAAATTAAAAATTGCTCCGTCTGTTAAAAAACGCAACCTAGTTAAAAATCGCTCCGCCTTATGTTTTATGAAAAATCGCTTTAATTTATGTACTTTTTTAAAAAAGTGGCACAAAAATTCAAAAAGTGGCACATTTTGTATCAAAATGAAAAAGTATCACAAAAGTAGCAAAGGCGGAAAAAAGTGGCAAAATTGCCACTTTAGTGGCACAACGGTCACGCTGATGCCGTCACATCCCATTTCCCATTCCAATTTTCATCTTTTCGATAAATCGATTAATTAAAAAGTCGATCTACATAACCCTGGCTCTAAAACGCCGGTTCATCTTGACTTCGTTATCTTACCAACACATCGCAATTTTTTTTGCAAAAATTTACAAAAGTTAACAATTAAAGTTGTTTTGAAAACAACGATACATCGTTTCGGAAAGACCACGTAAGTGCGTGTGTAATTTCATTTTCGAAATTTCCACAATCCAACCCACCACCGACCGAGCACACACACACAACGAAAATGTTAACCAGTAAAAAAGTTTTTTCGGTTTTTTTATACACTTTTCTTCTTACGGCGACGACATTGAGCGCCCTTACATTGGCCGAAGTTCCACGTCCCATTGGAGTGCCATTGGCCAAGGCTACGTTGTATAGGCCCAATGGCGACAACTCCTGGAAATGTTTGGATGAAAGTAAGACTTTGAAATTCACCCAAATTAATGATGATTATTGTGATTGCCCCGATGGCAGTGATGAACCGGGCACTTCCGCCTGTCCCAATGGCATTTTCCATTGTATAAATCAGGGTCATCGCTCACAAGATCTTCCAAGTTCGCGCGTAAACGATGGCATTTGTGACTGTTGTGATGGCAGTGATGAATATCATCCAACGGCGGGGCGATGCTCAAATTCTTGCGATGAATTGGGTCGTGCGGAAAGAGAACAACGCAAATCACAAGCGGAAATGTTGAAAAAGGGTGCAGCCAAGCGTTCCGAAATGGTGGCTAGGGGACAACAGCTTAAGGCGGAACGTGAAAATCGTCGACGTGAATTGGAACAACGTCGCCAGGAACAAGAGGCTTTGAAGAAGGAAAAGGAGGAAATTAAAAAGCAAGCCGAATCTTTGGAATCGGAAGCCATTGCCTACTTCAAAGAATTGCACAAAGAAGCTGAAGCTCAACAACAAAAGGAAGATGATAACTTGCATCAGCAACTGCCAAATGAAGCTGCCGACAAATTTATGCACTATGACACCAATAAAGATGGCTTTGTGGAAATCATCGAACTACAGGTGGATATTAATCTAGACAAGGATCGTAATGGGGCGGTCAGTGTGGAGGAGGCAAAATATTTCCTAGATGAACGTGATCGTGTTGATTTGGACAGTTTTATCACACTATCCTGGCCACGCATTAAACCTATGTTGATGATGGCTCAAGGTATTTTCAAACCACCACAATTGCCCAATGAGGAGGAGGAGCATGAGGGAGAAAATGATAGAGAAGAGAAGACGGGAGGTAATGCTGAAATTGATGATATGATCACGGAATACAATGAACGTGGTGAAGGTAAGGGCATTTTTTGGAATTTGAACAACTATTTGAACGGTGATCGGTATTTTGAAGGTTTTAACAGCATTTTACCACCGAAGTGGCCGTAATGTGTTACTCCGGTTTCTTGTAGGATAATAACAACTTTGATGAAAATTTTCAATTTAGGAAAATGTTTTGACGTAGTTCTTACATCGAAGTCTTGGTTTCTTTGATATTTTCGAGATTTTGGTTGCATTTTCCCACAGTACTGGCTCCTTCCACCTTAATCAGGAGAGCATACCGAATCAACTCTGGGATGACTCACCCTTGTCGGATGAGGAAGACATCATGGAAACTACAGTGATTAGCACTACGGTGACGAACACAGCAGCTATCCTGGTGTCTCCTCCGAAGCAAGGTTAGTCCTCCCAGATGATGAGTAGGGGTTGAAGATCCTGGCGAGGTTGAAGATCCGAACTCCATCTCCATGGCCGATAGTGACGTCGCGAGACTTCTCAGGCAGTTGGCTGTCAAAACGGATACTGATACTGAAGAGTCCAGTCGTTAAGATGGATGAATCATCAGTACCAGTAACTGCAGGGCACTCCATCCTTTTGATCAAGAGGAACCTCAAATTAATCCCGAAGTTATCCAAGAACAATCCGAATGATATTGCGAGGGATTTCTTAATTGAAAGGATTCCTAGACCTAGTACGAAGACCACCACGGTAGTCCATTCAAAGAAGGAAAAAATTGTCGGATGTTTAAGTACACCTAGGAGGCTGGTGCCTGAGACGTCTAAACCCTCAGTACCCCCCAGGGGTAAACTGAGTGCTGAGATGTCTCAGACACCAGCATCGACGAAGACGGAGGGTAAGGGACTGTCGAAGTCAGTCCGACGGATAGGCCGTAAAAACCTCCCTCTGGTAATCCACCCTCTCCCGAATGGTCGAAACTGATATCATCCAAGGTTGTGGTAATTGGGCATTCTTGGCTGGAAAGGATGCTCGAAGAGCATATAACACAGTGCTAGTAAGACGTAGAGGTTGGGACGTTTATAGAGAACAATTCAATAGACAAAAACGTGAAATCATGAAGATTAAATGTAGGTCGGTATTGGACTTGCTTTAGTGAATCAATCGAAGGAGTTAATGAAGCGGACTGATATCGCAGAGTAATATTTAAAGTTGAGAAAGATGTGCACGAGGTTACAGGAACTCTCCTGAGGTGCTATAAGGTTTCTTGTCCTTCAGGCCCCTGAGGACAATTTTTTCTATAGAAAAAAATTCATCAGGACCATGAGGAACATTTTTTTATCGAAAAAAAATCATCAGGACCCTGAGGACAAATTTTTCTATAAAAAAAAATTCATCAGGTCCATGGAGACAAATTTTTTATCGCAAAAATAAATTTATCAGGACACTGAAGGCAATTTTTTTCTATAGAAAAAAATTCAGGACCGTGAGGACAATGTTTCTATAGAAAAAAATTCATCAGGAACCTGAGGCAATTTTTTTCTATAGAAAAAAATTCAGGACCGTGAGGACCAATGTTTCTATAGAAAAAAATTCATCAGGAACCTGAGGACAATTTTTTCTATAGAAAAAATTCCTCAGACGCCTGAGGAATTTTTTCCGGCAGAAAAAAGAACACCCTGAGTGGTCTTGGGTAATTTTTTTATTGAAAAAATCTAAATTTTATTTGGGTGAAAAATTGCGCTGGTCTCAATTAGGTAATCTTTTTCTTTAGAAAAAAATCCTAAGGTCCTAGGACACAATTTTTCTATAGAACTAAAATTCAAAGTTCATTGGAGACAAGTTTTTGGATAGAAAAAATGCCTCAGATCCTTCAAGATATTTTTTAGATAGAAACAAATCTTCAGATTCCTGAGACATTTTTTTTTTCTTTTTTTTATCTTATCTCATATCGAGGTTTTTGTCTTCTTTTATTCCCCCTCCTAACATTTAGAAATACATCGCCCCCAGACATATCCTGAAGATGGTGCCGAAGAGGAAGAAGAAGAAGCCTATGAAGATGATGAAGCCGATGTGGGTGAGGGTACTGTACAAGATACTCATAATGCCCCAACACCGGAATACGATGAAGAAACCCAACGTATTATCAATTTGGCAAATGAGGCACGCAACTCCTTTGCCGAAGTTGAACGCACAATACGTGAAATCGATCAAGAGATTCGTGACATCGATGATCAAAATTCCAAAGATTATGGTCCCCACGATGAATACGCCATACTCGAAGGTGAATGCTATAAATTTGAAGATCGTGAATATGTCTACACATTGTGTCCCTTCGAACGAGCCTCACAACAGGGACGTAGTGGTGGTGCGGAAACCACTTTGGGTAGATGGGATCAGTGGTTGCACGACGATGGCGGCGAACGTAAATATACTAAACAAAAATATGCCCATGGTGCATCCTGTTGGAATGGTCCCCAGCGTTCGGCAATTGTGCACTTGAAGTGTGCCCTAGAGACACGGATTACGGCGGTTAGTGAACCCAATCGTTGTGAATATTTCTTTGATTTCGAAACACCAGCTGCTTGTGATGAGGAAGCATTCCAGGCCGAAGAACAACGTTTCAAAGATGAATTGTAAAAAAGCGGATGAATGGAAGAACAAAAACTTCAAAGAAAAATATATCCCCAACCAATTGCAGGCAGTTATTTATGTAAACTAAAAAAACCAACAAATTTCTTTAAGAAAAAAATATTATTTAGTAAAAAAATAAATATTGGCTCCAAAAGTTTCAACTCTTTTCCAATATTTTTTAAAAAATTTGTGTTAACCGGAAGTTTCAAAGTGTTACAGGAAGAAGAACCGAAAAGTAATCATTCCTTCATTTTTTTCTTTTTGATGTATTTATATATAGACATTTTTTAAGTAAAGAATAAATGTAAAAGTTATTAAATAACAAGTTATGCGGTTTTTTATTTATAAAAAAATGTTTATTATAATTTTTTTGTTTAGCAAAATACTATACACGTATAAATATACATTATTACAACAAAACTTACAAATATGTAAATATTTACGAGAAGAAAAACAAAATTATCATCATCATCATCAAGATGTTCATTTAATTAATGGATGGTGTTAAGAGTCGTCTGGAGAAGAACCCTGGGCTTTTTTCTTAAGATTCGCTAACAGCAAGTCTCATGTCTTCTAAATAGGCATCCAGCTGATGTTCCAATGCCAAAATATGGCCTGTATTGCAATTTTCCGAACCAACAAATGTTAGAATTAAGGGTAATTTGTTCATTTGAACAACCTGGAAAAAAATTCAGAATTACAAATATTTTTTTTTAAATCCACTACTGCAGTTAGCCTAATCCACGCCTATTTTTGGTACTCTAAAAGTATTTTTTAAAAATACACGCCTATTGATAGTCTGATAATTTGAATACTTCACCTGATAATTTGAATACATCGATATGATGGTCTTATTACGTCCCAGACCCAATTTGCCAGCCTGATCACTGGCCGTTGTAAATGTCGATATAAAGGAGGGCGTCAATGTAAAGTCTACATTTTTTTCTTGGCTAACACGCATCACGGGCGCACCATCACGATCAGTTATTTGTATTATATAGAGACCATGGACTCTGGAAGTAAACAATACTGATCATTAAAAAAATATTCTAAATAAAGGGCCAACAAAAAACAGCAAACAAATGTTTAGAGATCTGGCAGACTGCTTTACCGCTGCGTGTATTTGGAAGGAAACATTTCAGAACGATTACCCACTTCTTAAGAAGTCCTTCGAAATAATTATTTATATCCTTGGACATGACTAGCGATGGCGTATCCATAAATAATTGTATTTCTTTTTCCCCGAATCAACCGAACAAAATCAAAAACAAGAAAACAACAAAGACATACACAAAGACATACAATCGTAAAGACTTGACAAGACGCATTTTCCAATATTAGTGTCAAATTTGTGCTATAGAGGGCTACACATTTTAATGGAAAATGCACTTTTTGATGTTCTCTCACCAAAAAATACTTAACAGCAATGTTAATTATTTTGAAAAATATGGTAACCAAAGTGAAGTTTGAGATTGTATGAAATTAAATTATTTTTTTTTGCGTACTTTATTTGAAGAATTTGTCACAATTTAGATTAGGCAAGTTTACTTGCGGCAAGTCTTTGACTGTAGGAGAGAAGGGCAAGGGGAATAGAAATGGAAAAAATTGCTCGTACCGACAATTTTCTGGCAATTCGTTTTGTGTATTTCGTATTTGTTGACATTTTATATTTATTTAAATGTGAAAAAACTATTGACATCAAATGAAAAAAGAAATATTTTCGAAACCGAATTGCCTTGTATAGACGCATGAAGCAAGTTCAAAAGGGAACGATAATAATTGCCGCAAGTAAACTCAATTGCCGTGTTCCCCTGCCACAATTCATCTTTAACAGTCGTGACCCCCTTTGTCATGGGTGTAATGGTCGAAAATGGTATTGTGAAAGTTGGTACACCGATTTGTGTGCCGAGCAAGGAGTTTGTCGATATTGGCATTGTCACCTCAATCGAATCAAAAATATTTGGGTTAAAATTGAACCCATACCCGGTGAATCACCAAAAATGTTTGGCCGTCATTTTGAAGCTGATGATAAGTTGGCCAAGGTCTCGATGCTTGCAAGGATTACATCCGTGATGATTTGATTAAGGCTAATTGGTCTCTAATGGTTGAACTGGAGAAACTTTTCCAAATTTTATAAATTGTTTATAAATTTTTAATTTGTTTGCAATATGTTTATTGATGTGGATGCCTGAAGATTACGATGCGGATTCAAATAATGACCCATGAATACTAAAACAACAATGATTTTAGGGTATGTCAGGGTATTATAGCTCTGTGCAGCCCCAAGAGTTTGTAACGCCGCGTGTTGGTCCTAGACCCACCGTTAAGTATACCGATCGTCATATCTCGACTAGCTGAATCGATCTAGACATGTGTGGCCGTCCGTCTGTCCATTATTATTTGTTCTTCTGGCCAATGAAGATCCCTATGATTTTTGGTAAAGATCTGTTGATATTAAGGGGATGAAATGGACCAAATACTTTATTTTTGTCGGTTTTCTGGTCGCTCCAGAGGCCGCAATTCTGACCCCAACATTGCGAATTTTTACACGGAGAATGGGATCAGGGCAAAGAATAAACATGCCAGTTTTAAATAAAGATCGGTCAATATTTAGCGGGTCAAATGGACCCTGACTTTTGTGTGAAAAATTAAAATTTTTTGTTCTATACGGAATAGAGTTGTTGACCTTTAAATTGATACCAATACCAATATTGTCGTATGTACTCGGCTGCGGGAGTTACACTTAAGTTTTAAGAGGTGTTTAGGTTATTCAAATATAATTTAGTAAACCATTATCACACGGTGATCGCTTTGAAATGTTCCATGAGGTTGCAGTTATGGTCAAGGACAACGCCTATAATTTTCGGTGATGATCAGATAATAATTTTGGGCTGAAGTGACCAAAAACTTATTTTGTTGTGTTTTTACGAGTCGATTTATAGGCCACAGGCCGAATAGCACAGCACAACCCACGGTGAAGGGAATCTGGACAAGCACTTAGAAGGGCTGTACTGAATATTTGTAATATTTGTTTACCTCTAGTCGGTCAAGAGGTTGCAAATATTGCGAAATATTGCTCAAGCTCAGAATAAAGAACTACAGGAAGTCAAATTTTCGTTGAAGTTGTGTAGGGTTTCATATGGTCGGCCCCGTTCGACTATACTGCTCGGCTCACTGGTTTTCAATCTATTTTTTTTTACTTATGACTAAAATATCCTCCGTCACTTCAAAATTTTTATTTCCGCTTCAAAAAAATCTTCCCAAAAAAATAAAAACACACAAAATTATTAAGTTTATGGCAATAAATAAATTAATTATACAACAACAAAATTATAAAAAAAAGGTTTAATTATTAATAATTGGGTACTAACAAACCGATTGGATTATTAGTTTATGAGTTATCGTGCCGGCCATTCGCGAAACGCTGCTTCGAGAAATGCGTTTAAGAATCACTCTTGCCGTCACTTGATGCTGACTCAATCAATCGGCTATATCTTCAAGAGTAGATCGGAATAAAAAAAAATATGACACCAAGAATAGGGGGCTTTGGTGCACCTTTTACATAAAATCTGACAAAACTATATATGAGAGCTATATTAAATCTGAATCGATTTTCTCGAAACTTAGCACATATCATTCTGGACCTAATTGCCAAAGTGCCAAATTTCGTGCAAATCGAAATATATGAAGGGACTTTGGTGCCCCATTTACCTTAAATCTGAACCGATTTTCTTTTTCGCGGTCTTCAAAGTCTCTTCATAGTATCCAGATTTTTATTAAGTTGATTGAAATAAGTATTGAATATATATTCCCTTCTTACGTTTATAAATTGAAAGGCTTTTTCGCGGTTTTTCACTATTTACATTGTGTTTTCATTGCATCGGGGGTTCACAATAATCACACAACACCACATGTGTATACAAAGTTCAATAAGTTGTCGTTTTTAAACGATTCTATGGCGTAGGAGAAACTCTTTAAATTACTAAAAAACCTAAAATACTATGTTATTTTTGGTTATATATAATAATAATTATATATCATATGTACATACTCTGTTTTTATTGTATATTTATACATTTCTGTAGCAGCGACAAAAATTCGCCTTGCACATTGTGGAACACATCATATATATTTGCAGAATGTTGCCAGCCATATAAATTGTTTTTAAACTCTCTAGGTTTTTTCTGTCATTATTCCATTGCATTTCAGAGAGTAAAAAATGTAGTTCTCTTTGTAATTAACAGAAAATGTTGTTACGATATCGTAACAACAGAGCAAAAGCCATCTAACGGCCAACTTGGAAATTCAATTGTCCTATCTTTATACTTTTATGTCTTTGACTGCAACTTGAAAACATTGAATGACGTAGAGCCGTCAAATACAGGAGGTTTGATTTTTAGTGTGTTATCAAGAACTCGCACCGGACCACCCTTAATTTCCAGTTCCGACATTTTCTTCTCCAGATTCGTAAACCTGTGGTCGTGGGCCAGAAATTTCTCGTCAACCGACTGCACTTTCTTATCCAACTCTTTAATTTGGACCTCCACGGTTTCCACTCTCCTTCCAATAACTTCTGTAATGTTCTCGAGTTTCTCGTTCATTATTCTCGAATTTTCATCTAACTTTCTGGAATTCTCTTCGAACATTCGTCTCGTGTTTTCTTCTGACTTTCTGGAATTCTCTTCGAACATTCGTCTCGAGTTTTCTTCTAATTTTCTGGAATTCTCTTCGAACATTCGTCTCGTGTTTCTGGAATTCTCTTCGAACATTTTAGCCAGCATTTCTCTGAAATCGTCACCCCTGGCAGCTACTGACGAGACTTCCCCACCGTTGGATTCGCCCATTTCCGATAAATCCACTTCATCCTTACTGTCAAACTCATATGTATCGATGTTCATACCACGGCGCTCGAACTCATCCAACAGACGTTTTTGTAGTTCAGCCTTGTTGCCAGTAGAGGACAATTCCAATTTATTGAGCTCCTTCTTTAAGTCTTCCACTCGTAGATCCTTAAACTTCATCGTAGTATTATCGTAATCCCACTTCTGACACCAATTGTTACGTTCTTGGATTTTACTAAATCCCGTGTAGACGTTGTTTTATTTCCCGATACAATTCGTACCAAATAAAACGCGGGTTCTTTCTGATTACGATTATTACAATGATTTTATTCACACAACTTACTTTGCACTTTACTTTACACGACGGTTTCAATTCGCGATCTGATTCACAACTGACTCACTGCCTTTCCATTCCCTCTATTTATATGAGCCCTGCCTGTCGCTACAGAAGTTTCTAGACGATCTGGTAACACCTAGATCACGAACAATCTACCAATGCAACAAACACATTGAGTAACAATAACAACAACAAACTTGAGTAAACAAACTTACAACAACAACAACACATATACAGGCGAGGGAATAACAAAGAAAGAGGAATAACAACAACACATATACAGGCGAGGGAATAACAAAGAAAGAGGAATGACGTTTAACAAGAATTGTACGACAATAACAAAATAGAAAATGAAAGAGGAAATGGAAGGATGTAGAAAAATCTATACAGTGGTTGTTGTTGTGAAGTTATTCAAATAAACTGCGTAGTAGAAATTTACGTTACAATTCAAATTCTTAAATTAACTTAAATCTAAAGTTATATTCGTAACAATATATTTAAAAAAAATTACTTATTTATTCAATGAGTAAACTGATTCCGTATGTCACGTTTCTTTGGGTGACTTAGAGGATGACATATACCAATCAGTGGGTGCTCATTTTCCACCGAGTCTTAGCTTCTTCTCAACAACCGAACCTGCTCTAATCTACAGCATAATTAGAAACCTAAAGTGGTTGGAAAAGTGCAACCTTTACACGTAATATATCTTCTGTCTGATCTCTATAGCCATCGGCATTATTCCAAACTTATATTCTTATATATTTCTGTAAGCTTCTCATCTTTGTATTTCTCTTTATTTCGTCTCTCCCCAATTTTCTCTCCTTATCTCTTTTCTTCTCGTGTATGATCACAACGGACCTAACGGCCTCAGAGTGCTGCAGCCCCCACACATCCCCAAACCTATCCTAACCTTCAATGCGGGAATAGCTGACTATTCGATTAACTGTCAAAGTGCATAGTTTCTAGTGTTACTAGATTAAATTTGCTTGTTATTGCATTATGGCATGAACTAGCAAGCAAATTAACTTCATTTATCTCATGGGAGTGGCTATCTCAAATATTACGTTTACTGACAATTATTGTTGCCATATCATTTACATTGAGTAACGGTCTATCATAACTATCGACATTTATCGATATCAATACAATATGACAAATCATCGAACTGTCACTGCCAAGAACACTTTCTGTCAATTGTCATGACAAAACTGCGAAGGAGAGCATAAAGGCATTTTAGCAAAAAAAAAAAAAGAATTTTTAAAGATTTTCTTTCCTCAAAGAAAAAATGTAAGTAAATATTGTTTCAAAGATTCATATAAATGTGTAATGTGTGTGGAAACCCCCAACAGCCTTAGAGATTATTTATTGAGGAGGAAAAAAGGAGGGACAAGAACTAGCAGAGCAGACCAACCAACACCCGCCTTTTAAAAGAATACTGTGTGCGATTGTTGTGTCTGAATGTAAAAAAATTACTGGGCAACGACAATGGCTTTCAACTTCACAGCATTTACCTATATAATAGCATTGATTGGCGATGCGTTTTTAATATTCTTTGCAATATTCCATGTTATTGCATTCGATGAATTGAAGACGGATTATAAGAATCCCATAGATCAGTGTAATAGCTTAAATCCGGTAAGAGTGGTGGTAATTATTTAATAAAATAAAATATACTATATTGTTTTTGTTTTTTTTCTTTTTGCAGCTAGTCTTACCGGAATATATTCTGCATATATTCCTGAATTTATTGTTTTTGGTATGTGGCGAATGGTTTTCACTGTGTATCAACATACCCTTGATTGCCTATCATATATGGCGGTAAGGTTCCCAAAAAAACAAAAAACTATTCTTCCCTTGAACATCTAATGATGTCATTTCTTGACTCTTGCTTACAGCTACAAAAATCGCCCCGTTATGTCTGGTCCGGGTCTGTATGATCCCACAACAGTGCTATCATCAGATAATTTAACCAAAAATATGCGAGAGGGTTGGATTAAATTGGCAATTTATTTAATTTCATTCTTCTACTACATTTATGGGTATGTGTTGCTGTCGTTTGGTTGTGCTCTGGTGCCCATATATTTTTGGCATCTAGCCCTTAATTATTGAAATGGATTAACATGTGTGTTTTTATTTCTATTTTTTTTAATTTTAGAATGGTGTATTCCCTAATATCCACGTAAAAACGCCTAAGCTAAATCCGTTCATAATACACTCCTCGTCGTCGTCATTGTCTCTTTCACTATCGTGATAGTCAACAAACAGTCATTGTCCCCATAAAAATAATAGCAGCAACAAAATCGAAATTAAATACACAAAAGATCAAAAATCCTGAAACATTTTTTTCCAAAAAAAAGTTTGTGTGGATATGTAAGCACTTTTTTCTTTATAAAAAAAAATTAATATTATAATTTTCTCTGTAATGTATTTTTTAGTTTAAAAAAAAACAAATTTAATAATAATAATAAGAGAAACGAAAATGTTTAAGTGAATCCCTCCATGTGTACTTGTTTGGTTATGTCGGCGTCTCGGACAAGCTTGAGATTAAACAAAAAACTACATAGATAATCACGAGGCCCTTACCAGCGCATTATCTTATCTTAAAATAATTATAACAACATTTTTTTTCTAAAGTTGTTAATTACTACAACAAATAGAAACATATGTGGATAAATATTTGACCTTGCGGACTTTAATCGATAGCATAGAAATGAGATGATGTTTGAACACTAAAAAATCTGAGTCAATAGAAAAAAAATCGTCAGGACCCTGAGGTCAATTTTTTCTATAGAAAAAAATTTCTCAGGGCCCTGAGGACCAATTTTTTTGTAGAAAAAAAAAATCCTTTGGACACTGAACACGGTTTTTTCTATAGAAAAAAATTCTTAAGGAACTTGAGGACATTTTTTTCTATAGAAAAAATTCCTCTGGACCCTGAGGATGATTTTTTCTATAGAAAAAAAATTCCTCAGTACCCTGAGGTATTTTTTTTTTCTTAAAGAATCGTAACGAAAAATTTAACAATTTTTTCAGTATTAAAACAAATCCTGAGGCCTAACACAAAAAGAAAAGTTTTAAAATTTTTAACATATATATATTTTTATCTCAAAATAGGCATACCATATTCCTAAATGAATGGTGTAACGTACATTTTTCTAACATTATTAAATTAAAATACAAAAAATGTTGTCTTGGATAAATTCACAATATAGTATAGTATAAAAATCATGCAGTACAGTATGTGTGTGTGTCCATTTAACCATAAAAAATAACTTAAAAAATTAATTAATCGGGGAATGTTAGTTAGTCTAGGGTATAATACTTTGTTTTTGATTTGGTATAATGCCAATACCCAACTCCTGAAGCATTAGAATCAATTGACTGTTCTGTTCCATTATGGATATTATTTCCTGTTGTTGTTGTTGCATAAACTAAAACAATAAAATAACAAAATATTGGAAAAAATTTCCAAGAGAAATATTTTTTTTGCTACATACTTTTAAACGATTCTTCTGCTCCATTTTCGACAACTGATTATTATTGTTGACCATCTTAGCATCCATATCTTTTTGAAAATCATTCTTGAGTCGATATAAATCATCACGTATTCGATGTAAATTACGTTCACATTCTCGTACATCTTTTTCCAGAATTTCACTTTTCAAATAAACCGTTTGGGCCAATTTATACCAATCGGCAAGGCACTCAGCCATTTGTGCGACAGCCGGTTTAGTATCATCTAAGAGCAAAGATTTGATACTTTTTCCATTGCGATCCACCTGTAACAAAAAAATGATGAGAAAAAAATGCTAACATAGAAAAAATAACAGAACCCCTCGAGTTTTTTTGAGGACAATTAGAACCCTGAGGACAAATTTTTCTATATAAAAAAAAAACATCAGGACCCTGAGGACAATATTTTTTTATAGAAAAAATTCATCTGTAGCCTGAGGACAGTAACATTTCTTGAAAATTCTGGAAAAAAATTGGGAAATATTGTTTTACCTTAATTTTTTCCAATGCATGAAACTGTTCATCATTATAGGTCAATGTGCGGGTTGCTCTATCCCTTAGCAAATGTTGCCAGGAGTCACGTAAACGTTCAACTAAATATTTAGCCCGAGGACTGGCTCTTGTACGACAGGGACATTTTTTACCATGCATTGAGGATGTCCATTGTTCACTAAATCGAAAAAATATATATTACTATTTAAAAAAAATAAATATAATTGAAATCTTACTTCAATTGATCTTCAATAACAAAATTCGAATATAATTGCATTATAACATCAGCGGCACCATCAAAATCGGATTTAAGATTTTCCAAATTCGTTAAAATTGTCTTGCATTCTTGATCACGATTTGTCTTTAGGAAGGTAAATTGGAAATTTAATTAATTACTTAATAAATTTTAAGAGTTAAGATTACCATCTTTGCAATGCTCTGCACCGAATCAGCATAGTCCATGACAGTTCTTAACAGCTCATGGAAATTTTTGGTTTTCCTAGAAATATATTTTTAGAAATTAACAATGTTTTCTATTTTTGAATTGCATATTTAAATTACTTTACTAGCAGGGTAATGGTGGTGGTCAATGTTTCAATGAATTGTTCAACGGCTTTTTTAATTAATATATCAATTGAGGTAAAGGTGTCCACACGCCGCTTGCACTCATGGCCCACACTGCAGGCAGCCTTAAAATTTAGAAAATAAAAACAAAAAAAAAAAAAATTGTTAAATGATTAATAATTAAAATTTGATTTCGAATAAGTACCTTTGCCAAGCTAGCATCATTTTCCACCGATACATTACTGGGAAATACCGGAAATTTGGGCAATTCCAATTGTTGTGGCAATTGAACATTATTATCATCATTGCTGTATAAGAATATTGGTGATTCACTGGAGGTTTCGGGAAAACCACTTGCTATAAAAAAAAATATTTTTTTAAAAAATTTATTTTAAAAACCAGAAAAAAACTTCTCATTAAACTTACCCGTTGTATGCATTGTAATGCGTTTCTCCAAGTGTTCATTATTAAATAACAGAATTTGTTTTTCAATTGGAACTTTTGTTTGCATTAATATCCTCTCACGGAAATGTTCAATCTGTTCCTCGGGCTCAAGGAATACCTCAATGGACGAGGTACGATTTGTAAAGAAGACGTGAACAACACGTTTACGCAATATGACAGTAACCTCCTGAAAGAAACGATCAAATGACCAAGTCTTTTCACGATTTTCTTCCAATAACCCGGCCAGCAGTGGTGTAACCAATGACTTTAATCCCTCGGATAAGTGGCAGTGTTGGGGCAACGTGGTAGACCATTCAATGGGTCCATTTTCGGATAATTGTGTGCCCGAGATTACACCTGAAGCTTTTTGTGTTGTTATTTGATGCATTGTCTCGCGATTTTTACGTCCTCCAAAGGGCCGGAAGGGTAAATTCCCTGTTGCCACATGATATAAGGTTACACCAATCGACCACAGATCCACATTGGCGGTGAAGGAACGATTAATGGATTTACGCAGAACAGCTCGTTCATATAGATCCGGATGTAGATCGACCACAGATCCACATTGGCGGTGAAGGAACGATTAATGGATTTACGCAGAACAGCTCGTTCATATAGATCCGGATGTAGATATTCCTCAGTGCCATACAACGATGCAAATGGTTGATTATCTTCCAGTTCACGGGCCGCTCCGAAATCCGTTAATTTGTAAATGGTTTGACCATCTTCCGAAATGAATTTCATAATATTCCCCGGTTTCAAATCACGATGTACCAATTTGTTGTCCCGCAAATGTTTCATGCCAGCACACAAATGTTCCAATACCAATAGGAATTCTTTTTCCGATAGACCATAAGAATTCTCCGGGTCATCGAGTATATTGAATAAACTACCACCCGTACATAGTTCCATAACAATAACTTTACCCCTGCCCTCTTGATCCTCTTCGATGGCCAGCAATTTGACAATATTTTCATGATTGACTTTTTTCAAGGCCTCAAATTCACGCATTTGGACATCTGGTGGACGCATATGACTATAGGGATTGAATGTCTTGACGGCAACAGATTCTCCGGTGATTTTGTTGACACCCTTTATAAAAATAACAAGAAAACGTAATACACATCTTTACATCTATTATTTGGGTACTTTACCTGAAATACCGAACCCGTAGCACCCTTACCCAACACACTTGTTGTACACCAAACATAATTCAGGGAACCCCGCAGAAAAGACATTTTTATATCGTGACTCTTTGCCTTTGCCAATGTTTTGCAGATCTGTACGTTTCTTCTTTTTCCTTATTTATTGTTTACTTTCTCTTAGGCAATGCTCTCTTCTACTCTGCTCTAAGAATTACAACGTTAATGTGAAATAATTGAATGGATTTTTCTTTAAAATAACAACGAAAAATGAATAATTTCCAGACTACCAAATTGCAGTTTGCACGTACGTGTTTTTGTTTGAATTTCACTTATTTGATGCACCAGTTCATTGCAACTATTCACAGAAAAGGAAATGCAGGAAACTAGTTCCAGCTGATGTTTTATTGTTATGCAGGGAACTAATTCCAGCTGATGCATCATTGTTTGAACTATTGATAACAAAGAAATTGTAGCAGAATTTACTAGGGGTCTTTAGACCGAAAATGGAAACAAATAACAATCGATTGTTGTCTTTTTCAGAAAACAGCTGACTATGAGAAGTGGAGGCCGTTGTTACATAGCGGGCATGTTTGTAAAGCACATCCAAAAAGATGTTATCGCAAATTGGGAATTAAAAATATATTTTTTTCAAAAAATTAAAGCATTTCCAAGAAATTTTTTTTGAAAATTGTTCAAAAAATTTCATTTAAACGCAATAAATTTATTTAAAAAAATTAGAAAAGTAAAATTTATTTTAAAAAATATGCTGAAAATAGTTGAAAAATATTCATTTAAAAAACGAAAATTTTGTGAAAATTTTTGAAAAATATTCATTTAAAAAATAATAAATGCACGCCTATAATGTGGAAAATTGTTGAAAAATATTCCTAAAAAGTTCACGTTTATAGTTGTAAAATTGTTGAATCCATCTAAGAGCCTTGTCTGAAGTGAGACTTTTCTCCATAAAATCAAAACCAGTATTTTTTTATTTTTGAATATTATTAATTTAATATTATATATTATTATTTTAACTTAAAATGTATTTCTTTTTTTTAAAGAAAAAAATTAATTATCCACCTTTGAAGCCTTTTCAAAAAACTCCACCATTAGGGGATACACCTCATCGTATTGTTCACTCTTCTTGCGGCGAACACTGTCCCGGTAACGTTGCAGAGCTCCCGATATTAGTTCAAGTTTTTCCCGTTCACTGTGACCCTCAAGCCATTCAATTAATCGCTCATTTGACCAATTAACTGTGGTATGGGGCGATTGCAATTCCGTCCCACCATAGCCAAATAATAGCAATAGAATTATATACGATGGCACGAGGGAATCCGCACCAATATTCTGCTTAATCAATTCCGAGGGATTTTGTATGATCAAGAATGACATGGCTCTTAGCATACGTGCCGAATTGCCCAATTCGGAGATGTTACTGCACAGCGGCTTCAGGGCATTCTCCATGTGGTTGCAATCGTTTTTCAATCTTTGCCGGCCGGCATAACTTAACGGCCTTAAAATGCTCAAATTGTGTATAAAGAAATCGATGCAACGTTTGGCCACTTCGCAGGCACATTTGGTGACAATCTCCCCATCTTCATAGGCGGAGATGTGATTCGCCCATACACGTTGTATAAATTCCTGCAACTCCTTCATATACATTGAGGGGCCGGCTGTGGAAATTTTCTCCGAATTTAGACCCGGCTCACGATGTATACTCAGGATGATAATATTTATGGTTGATATAATGGAATCCATAATCTGCTGCAGAATTGTGGTTATCAAAAGATCTGCTTGTTCCAGGGACTTCGTGATATCCTGTTTAGCCGACGATTGAGTTCGATCCAATTGCTGGCCCAAATCTCTTAGCATACGCCTTACGGAATCTTTGAAGTAGTACAAAATATTGGCCAACAACGTATTCTGAATCTGTTGGGTATTTGGCATATCCACCACTTGCACCGAATCGGGACCCAATTTGATTTGCGATTCCAATTTGGTGCAAAAATCTTTGCTACATGATATGAACACCGCTGCAACCGAGTTACTCAAACGTGCGTCCACCAGGGCATTACTCAATTCCGTGGCTGCGACCCGAATGAAATTATCCACCGTCTCATTGTTGGGCAAATCAACCCCAGCCAAACAGGCTTTCATATTTGCCCCGCATTTCGATATATAACCCACTTCGAGGGGAATAAATAGCTGTTCATCGAAGAGAAATTCTCGATTCACCCGCTCCTCAAAGCCACGAACGGAGCTCAACAATTTCGAAAGGCCCTCCTGTAACGTTTGGGTAATGTGGGCTGGACAATCGGTAAAATATTTGCGCATCAGTTCTTGTGTTGCTTGCCAAAATTGCGATTGTACCAAATATTCTCCCTTCTGAGAGATTGAAATACCACCTAGCTGAACCTGTTCCAAAGCCTTGTTTAGCAGCAGCACTTGGGTGCAATATTCATAGAGTTCATCATAAATAAGCCAGTGTAGAGATTTCCAAAATTTTGCCCGGAAATTTTGTGTTGTTGTTAGTTGGGGTGTTTTGCCGGGACCTCTCATCGCTGATGTTGAAGATTTTGGTGAACCACTCAGTGATTTGTTATTCGGATCATTTTTACTCAATACCGATATATCATTGCCGGCAAAACACTCCTTGAGAGCCTGCTCCAAATCCGATATGAAGGTGGTAATTAAATTATCCATAGATGTCTCCAGGGTATTGAAGTTCATGAAAATCTGAAAATAATAAAAAACAGATAAAGAACATAGTTTGGCAGAGTTAAAAAAGTTGGTAAATTGATGATTAGGATTATAAAAAATGTCAATTCTCACCTTCAGAGCATTGCAAACTTGCTGTTCATTTCTTTCCTGCAAACCCGTGACCAATTGCATCTGCGTCAAATTGCGTATCTTCTGTTTCGAATTAATGACATAATTCCGGGCAGCTTGAACAAATTCAATTTTCTTCATATCCGGATCTTCGATCAATTCATTTAGTTCATAATGCAGCTCAGCTTGTTTTAAAACATCCTTTGTCGCCTTCAATTTTGTTGTCAAAGTCAGTAGGGTTTTCGAGGATCTTAACAGATGTGACAATTCATGAAGTCGTGCCAATACTTTGGTACGATTTTCAATTAATTGAAATTGGCTGTCGACCTGTTGCCGCAGGCGATAACCACTTGAACGTATCTGTTGAACATCATCAGCCAGGGAATTGAGTGCTGTATCAAATCGGCCGGCATGTGTCGCTTGTTGAAGGAGGGCTCCATGTTTGTCTCGCACCTGTTGTTGTAGCTCTTCATTGATGTTATTGAGACGTTTACTCAATTCTTGAATTTGATCACCAATGGTGAGATTCATAGCAGCCAATGAGGCTGTAATATCTTCATCATCGTCAATGCAATCATGTTGTTGCTGTTGCATCAAAGTTGTGTTCGTTTGTTGTACCCTGAAATTGGAAAATGAAAGGATTTTTTTTAGATTATGGGCCTATACTAAATACGTTAAGACCTGGTATATGTGTTCCCTGAATTATACAATGCTTGGAAGTTGAAATGGTTGAAGGAGACCTGCTATGTAATATAATTGCAAAGAAAAATATACAGCCTGTTTTTGTAAAATTCTAAACGAACGAATTCGAGTGACTTACGACCAAACTCCTTGGTTTTGAAAAATATGTCATTTATTTTTGTTTTTGAATCAGAAAACCTTTATAAACATAAATAAAGGTTTGGTCGTAAGTCACTCGAATTCGTTCGTTTGGAATTTTACAAAAACAGGCTGATAGGAATCCAAACCAATCATGTTTTGATAGCTTGTCTTATTGCCTGGCATCACAATGTCATTATCCACTCTATGAATGCATTAGATGGGGGAACCTTTTTTTAATAATTACATTTTTATTCCAAATAGCTTGGATCTTTTTTATTTATTTTTTCTATTTTATTTCGTTTAATATTTAATTTTATTACAACAAAGTCACGTCACCACCATTGATAACTACCTCACAACATAACAGCTGTTTCCAAGTGTTTACATATACCATTAACGAACGCGTATGACGGCTGTCAAAATAACTGCATACATTTAGGCCATATTTACATGAAGGCTCTTTTTCATGCAATTTTTCAAATATTCATACATCTCATTAAAAATGTAACATTTTCATTGAGGAAAAACTTTATTAGAAATGTATACATAAAATTTACTATATACAATAGGTGAAGGCCCCGACCTGACGGCTGTCCAATATAAGGTCTGTTCCCTTACTGCATGAATCTACTATTTTTACTACGATAACACTTTTTCCTTTATGATATCGAAAAAAAATTTTAAAAACTCGTAGATTCTTGCTGTACAGGAACAGCATGTCTTTAGAGAGAACCCTGTTCAATAACGCACATACGTTTAATGTCATACGTCAAAATATAAGAATCACATCTTAAATGTCAACAAGAATCATGTTGCCTTTACAAATCAAAACAAACAGTTGAATTCTTCTGTTAGCAATCCTGGTTTGATCAGTTGTGACCCATTGACCCAGGCTACTCCACAATGGAACCACCGACAAAATTCCTTTTACCCTCACCGAATTTCAACAACAACAAACAAAAAGAATGTCCATCGAAACCCAAACCACACTATTTAACACCATCGGGTATGACAATTCTACCACGTGAAAAACAACCACCACCAATGTATGGCAAACGTGGAGCAACAGTTCCACCAAGATTTCTTAAACCCCCCAATGCTAATACGCCACCTGCAGAATCGACGAGGCAATATTGTGAGCCATGTGAAATGGAATTGGCCTCAATGGAGGATCTGAAACATCATCGGGCGCAACATGAAAAATGTCCCGTCGATGGTTGCCAGTATCGTGGCCATATAACGGTAATGGATAAACATGTTACGGCTTTGCACAGTTCGGGTTTATTTGATAAATTCAAAAAACTTAATACACCTGAAGAGATTGCGGCATGGCGTGAGGAGCGACGTAAACGCTATCCGACTGTGGAAAATGTTCTGCTCAAACAGAAGGCCCAAGAGCAGCGGCAAAAACGTGGTGAACGCTTAGAGGCCAGTAAATGTCGTTTTGGCAAGCAGGACGATAGGAAAAGGGCATTGCCGCCAAATGCAAATGATTCGAGCCCTAAAGATAGCGGAGATGGAATTAAGAGGCCAGCTGAACCGGATGGTGGGGGGAAACAACAAAAAGGCCAAGCTAATAAACGTAATAAAAAGAAACGAAAAAATCAACGTGATTGTAAGGATAATACGAAAAAAGCGGAACATGTAAATGCGACGAAGGAGGAGGAGAAAACAAGCGATGATGAGGATGATTGTAAATTTATGGTGAGATTCCAAGGTACCCGTGGTATGAAGGATTACAAACATTGTGAAAAGAAAGTGAAAGAGAAGAATACAAATGTCCTTTTTAGTCTTGTTGGTATGTATGGTTCAGATGATGACGAGGAAGAAGAAGAGGAGGAGGAAGAGGGGAGGGACAACAAACAGCAAGATAAATGTAACGGAGACTTTAATAAACTTGAAAACACAAATTCCAAGGAGAAGGAAATACACACTCAGTCGGATAGTCCATTAGATGGCAACAAGCAAAGTAACATGAACGAACAGGACCAAAGATGTAATGACAGAGGCGAGAAAGATGCCACAGATAATGACACTGTTCCCACAGATAAAAATACAGGAAAAAATAATTTTATTTTAAATCCCCATGAAGGAGAAACTGCCATGGAACAAAGAACTGAAGACATTGAACCTCTTCCAATCGAAGAAGAAGAAAATATTCAGAAATCCTCATCACAATCCTTCCCTAATGGTAATTCATCAGACGAAGGTCCCGAAGAAATTCCCATTGAACATCAATTGACAGAATATAAGTTCGAAAATGTACAACAAGAGAAAACAACAGCGGTACAACCACCAGCACCTCCCAAAAAATGCCCAGCGGCCAAACAAAATGAAGTAAACAATCGACCACAAAAACCAACGGTAAAAAGAAAATCTGGTCTGGATTATCGTAAAGCTAAACTGCGCAAACAAAATTCAATGTTAGAAAAATTATTAGAGACTGATATTCGGCATGAACGTAATGTCCTGCTGCAGTGTGTTCGTTATGTTTGTGAAAATAACTTTTTTGGTATTGGAAAATCGAAAATCAATTAAATGAATGTACAGTACAAAATTGTTATACATGTTATTATTAAGTAATAATAAAGAGAATGATTGAAAAGCCAAAAATCCCGAATATTAGGGGTACCGTTATATGTTGGGGGATACCCTAAAAAATACAGCAATATTTATAATTTTTGGTGGGAAGATTTGCTACCCAATGAGAACCCCTAATTACAAATTAAAGTCAATTCGATTGAAAAACGTGCCCAAAATACCGAATATTAAGGGTACCGTTATGTGGGGACTACCCTAAAAAGTGGACCAACTTCTATAATTTTTTGTAGAAAGATTTGCTATCCAATGAGAATCCACAATACCAAATTACAGTCAATTCGATCGAAAATCGAACCTAAAATTTCCAAAATATTGGTGGTACCGATATATGGAGGCTACCCCAAAAAGTGAGCCAATATTTATAAATTTTGGTAGAAAGGTTCTCAACACAATGAGAACCCAAAATACCAAATTACAGCCAAATCGGTTGAAAAATGTGTCTAAAATTCCCAAAATACCGGAGTATCGTTATATGTGGGCTATTCCCAAAAAAATATGGACCAACTTTTATAATTTTTGTTAGGAAGATTTGCTACCCAATGATATCTAGAAAATACCAAATTGCAGCCAATTCGCTTGATAACCCTAGACTAAAATTGTTCAACGAACGATGTGTTACAAAAGACTAAAATTTTCCATTTCGAAGCTCAATGGATTTTTTTATTTTGATATAAATAACTAATCTAAATTATCTCCATTACCTCATCTTCACCATCAAATTCCGTGCTAAATACATAAATATCACGGCGACGGGCAAATACAATTTCATTCAATTTCGGATGCGTGGCCAGGGAATGGACAACTCCTCCTGTTTTACCTACAAAAAATATAGAAACAAATCTCAAATAGATTTCAAATATGTTTCCACTTCTCTTTACTTACTTATTTCAATGTTCTGCAACACCTTACCCTCCAACAAATCCCATACAAATGCATCACCATTACTGCTACCCGATATGATGTGGGCATCATTGGACATTATACCACATTCGACTTGATAATCATCGGCCCTGTGGCCCTTATATTCCGATAATATACCACCCGATTCACAATCCAGCAGCCGAACAACACCGTCCTGGCAAGCAGCCACCAAACATTGTTCATCACGTGTCATACACAGGTATGTTATGGGCACACCCACTTTATCCACTGTCAATTCCCCAGCACGTATGTCATAGTGGCGTATACAACCATCCAGAGAGGAGGTAATTATTTTATTTTCATTGCTCAGCACCGCCGTAATACAATCCTTGGCTTCTCGCATCATTTGCACGGGCTCTAGGCGTCGGGTACGTATATCCCAGCAAAAGACAGCATTATCCCGACCACCCGATATGGCAATCGACGAATCTTCATTAAAGCTAACACATTTAATACCACCGGCATGACCACGTAATCGCCTTACCGGTGCCCCTGTGCTAACATCCCAATAGATGATACTTTTATCTAAGCTGGCCGATACGATATTACTACTCTCACAACTGGATCTGGCATCGGTGACTTCATCGGCATGACCACCATAGGTCTTGAGTAGCAGTCCGGTTTTGTGATTCCACAGTTTGATTTTTTTATCCGATCCACATGTCAGACAATAGCTGCCATCAACTGTGAATTAGGAGTAATCTATAATAAATCGCATCTTGGGTTTTGAGAGAAATTGCACAATTTTATTGAAAATTTCTTGTTCATATTTACCATTGTATCGAACTGCCCGAACCGCTCCTTGTTTACAGTCTATTGTTCGTATATATTTGAAATCTACAAATGTTGCCATTTTATTTATAATAATTTTTTAATTAATCGTGCCGCTAGATTCCGAAATCAATCAGAATGTTATTTGTTTACGAAGGAGCGTGTAAGAAATCAATACCAAGATGCATTTTTCCATTTTTCAAATGAGGTAGATGGATCAGCTGTTGTCTTGGGGAAATGTGCTGTCAAAATAAGACGAAGCAATGTCACTGATCAACCCCCCTTGCGGAATATATAAAAATATAATTTTAATATATTCTCTCCACTGATAGTCCATAAAGATATTCCTCTAAATCCATTAAAGTTTATTTAATTTTAAATATTTAAATAATTTTCAATGATTATCACATGATTTTGTTACTATATCACAGTGAATAGTTTATAACGCCATCATTGGTGTTTGAATAGCAAACAAATGAAAAAATATATTTTTTAATTCATGTATATTTTTTAAATTCACTAATTTGTATTTATTTAATTTCACTATATTTTTTTTAATTATTTAAATCCATCCATATTAAATTGTTATTTAATATCCATTAATTATTTAATTTTATTAATTTCCAATGTATTTGTACATGCTACATCTGTTATCATAACTCTGTGAATTGCATATAACGTCGTTACTACTATGTGGTCTGTCGCCATTGTAAAAATACATTCTACAAAATCTATTAAATTTAATTTATTATTAAATATTTTAATAGTTTTTAATGATTTTGTTATCATTTCATAGTGCATAGTTTGCAACGTCATCATTGGTCTTTGAATAGCAAACATATGCAAGCATTTTTGACTCTTGAGAAAAATATTGGTATATATTTTTTAATTCATTAATTTGTATTTAAATATTTTAATTCCTTTTTTAATTATTTAAATTTATTGCTGTTAAATCAATTTCTAATTTTAATTTATTTAATGTAATAAATTTCCAACCATATTTACATACAGCTGGTTAGTGTGGTTTTATATTTGTCAGGATCGGGATCGGTGTTGAGAGTTTCTCTCTCTCTCAGTGGTAAATTGTGAATTGTGTTGGAAAACATTACCACAGGTAGGAACAAAAAAGTGCGAAAAGGTACCTAAAATTCTACTTCAAATGATAATAAATCATAATTATCGAGAAATATTGGCCAATATTTATACCAGTTATTTGCATAAATAATATATGTTATAATTTAAGCGTAAATGTATTCACGAATAATAAAAAATCTAATTTTTGTTTTGGTACGTTTATGTCAATTCGTACTTTTTGTGAACAAAAAGTACGCTTGTTACAAAATTAAAAATAGCGCAACTCTAACTACTCTCTCAAGAGAGAGAAACTCTCAACACCGATCCCGATCCCGACAAATATAAAACCACACTTATCATTTCTCTGTGAAAGGGATATAACGCCGTTATTACTAGCATGTGGTTTGTCGCCGTTGTAAAAAAAGATACCAGCAGCCATGTACTTTGACATGGCTTTGTTTCTCTTTCTCTCAATTCGTTCTTGAGTTTCGGATGACGCGGTTGTCGTAGCGCTGTTATTTTGTTCGCTGACCAAAAACAACAACAACACCAACAAACAAAAATATAAAATCAGAATGTGAAACACCCTTTTCATAACATTTGGGCCATCTTTTTTTAATGTAAACAGTGTTGAAAATAAACGATTTTTTTCATGTGAATAATTGGCGAATAAGCACAATAAAAAGAAAAAAGTACAGTGATGTGATAAAAGCAATATACAAAAAATATTTTCAACGAGAGAGCAAGAAAAAATTATGAAATTTTTTCTGTATTGAAATAAAAAAAATTGCCGCTAAATTGTGTAAGCAAAGCAAAAACAAAAAAAAAAAACAGCTGAAAAATTATCTACCACATGAGAAAAATACATATGAGTGTGTGTGTATATATGGCGAATGCCAGCTGTTAATACACAAGAAAAGGAAACTTGAAAAACAAAAAGAAAAACGAAACAAAACAACAACACAAAAGTTGCCGCAACAAATAAGGCGAAAATACAAACACACGAGAAAAAAGAGAGTCATCTAAAACGGTGAGAGAGAAAGAGAACGCGCGTCATTTCATATGAAAGAGTGAAAACAAAACGCGACGGAAAAAACGTCATCTTGAAATCAATTGCGGAGGTTCGTTCGTCGTTCTTTATTCGAGGTGGAATAAAGCAGTTATTGTGAAAATAAGTGAAAAAAAACTAAAATATACTTAAAAAAAGAAAATTACAAAACAGATGATCACGAAGTGAGCGAGCAAGCAATAATGGTGGCAGAGAATTGGAAAATATTCAAAAAATAATAAATACTTTAATAAATGAGAATCAATGTGAAGAATACCACAATTTAGTGCAAGGCATCTTATTAAGAAAAAACACGTGGTTTTCTAATTAAAATTTTTTAATTTAAATAAGAATAAAAGAAAAACAGCGGATTAAAAAAACAAAAACGTTTGTGTTTTGGACCAAAAAATAAAATGTCTTCAAACGTTCCTATTAAAACGGAGGAAGTGATATTGGAAAATGTTGAATATCAAAGCACCGAAGAATTGGATGAAGAATTACAGTAAGTTGAATTAAAAAAAATAGTATTCTAAAAATGAAATGTTTTTTTTTGAATTGTAGCAACAGCAGTTTTGTATTTTGTTTTTATTTTTCCATTATTTATTTGTCGTCCCCCCCTCTTCTGTATTTTGGCTGATATTCTTCTTTTCTAACTAAAAAAAACCCATATGTTTTTTCCATTTCTAATCAATATCAACTGTTTTTGGGGCTGCTGCTTCTTCTTCGTTGGTTGTATCATACGTTTTTCTATATTTCGTTTTGTGCGGGGTTTCAACGAGACAAACAAGCAAGCAAGAAAAAACATATGGCCTCTGAACAAACAAGTGTGTTTGTGTGTGTGTCTGTCTATGTCAGCCAGCCAGCCTGTGTGTGTTGTTCTCTGTTGCTGCTGTCATGTTGTTGTTCATGAGAAACAAAAAAATAAGTATGGCGCAAAAATATTGGATGAATGCTTTTGTTTTTGCCGTTATTGTTTCATTTCCGTATTGTTCCTATGTGGACATTTAAAGACAACGACGCCGACCCGACCAGGCATTTCATTTAAATTAGAATACCATGAGAGTAAAAAAAAATCAAATTAATTAATTTGGTTTTTTTTGATGGTTGTTGTTGTTCAGATTTTTTTTTTTCAATTATCATCATAGTATTTTTGTAAAATCAGCTGTGTGGTGTAGTAGTGGGATTATGTGTGTGTGTTGTATTTCTTGCTTATCAAATTACTTTCTCTCTCATTCCATTCACATTTACAGCAGCAGCTAATCGGCTGACCGGCCCGGCCGACCCACCAACCGTATGTTTTTTTTTCAGATTTTATTTTGTATGATGTGCTGCTTGCTGGTGGTGTTTGTATTTAAAACACACGCTGTTGATTACTGTTCATTGAATCAGCTGTACCCGGCAAAAAGCAGCCAAGTCAACACAAGTAATCTTTGTATTCATTTCAAGTAGTAGCCTCGTCCCTCGTCATTGCACAATGCCATCCATCGTTTATTCGGATTTTTTTTTTTAAGAAACTTTATTTTTGGGTACTGGGATTTTCCAATAAGAGTTCTTATTTTCGATAGTATTCAAAGAAATTATTTCGCATTCTATGAGATCCGGCCAGCATCCTATCATTTTCATAAATGTTGCATATCGAAATCGCAAAATAGGGCTCTAGTTTTGTTTATTTTCCAGAAGTAGGTATTATTACCATTATTATGGTGATATATTTTTTTTCATTACCCGGTTATTTAATCCGAAAGTTCGGGTTCAGATTTTTTTTAAAATTTTTTTCCGGATGTTGGTATTTTTACCATAATTATGGGGATATATTTTTTGGTTATCCGGTTATTTAACCCACAATTTCGGGTACGGGTAACCGGTTCTACGGATCCGATTAATATAAAATGGGTATCATTATAAAGAAGATTATATCGCTAAGAAAAAAATGTCCTTGTTCTGTAGGGTTCTAAGGGTCCGCATCTTTTTATCCACAACAGATACAGCCCAACATTTTAGTGCGTTCAGATTTTTTTGAAAATTTTTTTCAGAGGTAGGTATTTTTACCCTAATTATGGAGATATATTGTGTTTTCTTGGGGGACGTACCCGATTACCCGGTTATTTGAACGAAATGTTCGGGTACGGTACATATCCATTGAGGGGTGTGACATGAAGGAGTCAATAAACCGGATTTTGGAGCCCTTTTTTTGAATCCTCCCGGATTATGGAAATATATTGTTTTCTTGGGTGACGTACTGGGTTATTTGAGTTGGAAGTTCGGGTACGAGCACCTGGTTATACCCGTTTCTACGAATCCGAATAATGGATATAATTTTAAAGCATATGGAAATACCTTTCCATTGAGTGGTTGCATGAAGAAGTCATCATAAAAATCTTTTGGGAGACACAGTCAATAAACGGGGTTTTGAAACCCCAAATCCTCCCCCAAAAATGGAGATATATTGTTTTCTTGGTGGGGTTATTTGACCCGGAAGTTCGGATACGGGTTCTCGGTCTCGGTTCTACGGATCCGTAGAACCCGGTCGCTAACAAACAATTTCCTTGTTTTCCTAGGGATCTAAGGGTCCCTATATTTTGATCCACAACAGATACCGCCACATATCGCACCATTTTAGAGCGATCAGATTTTATTAAATTGTTTTACTGAGGTAGGTATTTTTACCCTAATTATGGATATATGTATATAGTTTACTTGGCGTACGGGTACCCGGTTTCTACATATCCGATTCATAGCCATCATTTTAAAGCCTATGAAAATACCTTTCCATTGTGGTGTGACATAAAGGAAGAGTCATCCCAAAAACCGTTTGGAGATACACTCATTAAACCGGGTTTTGGAGGTCGTACCCGTTTATTTGATATCATTTTAAAGCTTATGAAAATGCCTTTCCATTGAAAACCCAGGTTTTATAAATCCCATTTTTGTGAACTCCCTAAAATTCAAGAACCCTACACAGAAACAAGGAAATTCTTTGGTTGGTAACTGTCCATAGGAGAGTGTCGAAGGCCGGTTTACCCGTTAAAAATGTGAGACATAAAAGAGAACTTGAAATTTAAGTGAATTTAAGACGTAGCCAAAATTTGCACCTGTCAATAGGCGAATGTCTTAAATCGCGGCCAAAAAAGGCAAATTTTTAAATAAAAAAATTTCGAATTTGGGGTTTTTTTTTTGGAACTTTGGAACACCTCATATATAGCAGGAAGTATACATTTCCCCCCGAAAAAAGTTGCTGTTGTTGTAATCAGAAAACAAAAGCTTACCTATTTTTTTCACATGCACATTTCAATGCACATTTTTTAATGAAAAAATATTTAAAATTGGGGCATTTTTGGAACGTTGGCACAACTCGCTAAGTTGTTTTTGTAATCAGGAAACAAAAGCCTAACGATGGAAAAAAATTCTAAAATTTTTCCATAGTTACTTTGGAACCTCATATAGTATAACAGGAGGAAGTATACATTTCCCCGAAAAAAGTTATTCTTGTTGTTGTAATTAGGAAAAAAGTCATGCATTTATATAAATATTAAAAAATATATATTATAAGTTTTGTCCTTTACTATAATTAGTTCCCCACCATCACCCTCTCTTGTATTTCCATATACCGCAAATCATATGTTTTCGACATTGGTGCTCAGCCCTTTGACGTTTTCATAAAAAACAACCTACTCGCGCGTTCTCTCTCAATTTAGATCTGCCGTTGTTTTGCATAGGCGGGAGAGTACGCTACAAATACCATTGTAGTTAATATGAGCATCAACGCCGTAGATTTTATCTCCTCCCACCGCCCACCACTTGTTCATAACAAACGCCGACAAAATGCAACGCCGTTCGCCGCCAGTAAAAGCCGCTGATAAATATGATGATCATGACAGAAGAGTACAACAACAAAAAACAAATCGCTGCAATCACTTCGTCAAATGCCAAACATTCAGACACACACACACACTCAAGTAATAAAAAATAAATAAATGCCTTGCAAAACGCAATTCGTTAATGAAAGAAACAAAAAAAAAAAAAAACGACCAAAAGAGAATAGCCGACCGGTTGACGCAAGTGACCTTTGCGTAGCTTTTCGCTCGAGCAGCACCACCACACAAATTAAAACATTTGATTTTATTCAACTTTGCGTCCATTTGTTTCAATTATATTCACGTTAGAGCAGCAACGATTCCAATGTGCAAGAACGGTATATTAAGGAAGGTTGATTACACTTGAAATCAGTTTTTTTTTTCAATAGAGAACGAAATTTATTTTGGAATCAAAACATAATCTAGGCGGTCATATGTTGTGTGTTTTTCGAATCCCACCAAAAAGAAAACCGACCCATGTTTGGTATCATCCACCCACCAACTGCATCTCCTTTACTATATGCACCGTTCGTTTGTTCCTTGGTTTGTTGTGTTCTTCTTCATCGGTGACTGTGTGGACGGACTTTCAAATGCAATTTTTTACTTTATTTCTGATGTTTGTGTTCCTATTTCTTATCACACACACACACACACAACACCACACATTCAATTCATCTACTATATCAACGAATTAAATATCAACGACATACCTCCGAACGTCCGACCGACCATATGATTTTAATAGCGTAAATTGTTTTTTTTTTTTGTTGTTTTGTCGATTCAATTTGATTTGTTTTTCTGCTGTATGGTGTGGTTGGTTGTGCGTGTTGGAATATATTAATACATAATATACAACAACAACAACAAAACAAAACTACATATTTACATATCACATTGGAAAAAATCAGCTGATTTTTGTATACACTGCTGACGGTTGACTGCTGCTGTTGTGTCATACACATGGTGGGGTTCCGTGGTGGTCATAATTGGGAAGGTTGTTTTTGTAATTTGGTATTTTTTTATTATAAAAAAACATGTGTGTAATGGCTTAAATATTATAAAGACCCACACACAGGTGAGAATTTGTAATAAATATTTTTTTAAGAATTAGCACAAGTGTGTTTTTTTACTTAATCACCTTTAAAAAAAAGTTGTAAAAAATATTTTTTTTTTCAAAAAATTTATAAAAAAAAATTGTTCCCAAAAAAATATTCAAAAAATAAAAATATTTTTTTTTTAATGCAAGGAATTAAAATAAAATAAAGACTAAATAATTTTATAAAAATGTTTTTGTTTTGTAAAAAAAATGTTTAATTTTTTTGTTCAACAAATTTATTTTTCAAAAAAATAAAATTTTTTTTTAAATGTTAAACAATTTTTAATACATATTTTTTAACAGTTAGCACATGTGTGAATTTTATATAAAAGCTATATCGAAATCTAAACCAATTTTATCGAAACTTGCCCATTCCACGGTGGCCGGTGCTATGTACCGGATTGACTCGGAGAAATCAACTTCCGACCAAAGGCTGTCAACCCAGCAAATACAACGTGTATTTTTTCAACCTGGGAGCATCATTACCCGGAATGTTTGCTCCGGATTCTTTTGGTCCGTGCCGGGATTGAGACAAACCCCGGACCATGGTTC